CATATTACCTTGAATGTTGGTCAAGTCATTGTTTGAAAAATAGCAAAGGCAAGCTTTAACCCTAAATACCAAAATGTCCACTTGGTTGCCATTTTGTTTTTAAATTCACAAACAAAAGCAGATTTGCACAACTAACACCCTAGAGGAACGTGTACAAAAGACAATTTGAAAAGCTTGTCATCTAAAATATTAACAACTGATGACACATCAAGGTAGAGTCAAACAGGCACAAAGCTAACACAAATGTAACACAAAGGACGCAAACAAAAACAAAGGCTTCCTATTTTTATTGATACTCTACCACAGATCATTCCCTCACTCTCACTCATTCCCTCACTCATTCCGTCATTTTCGCAAAATGTCAAAAATACAAACACCTCATTCATGATGCCCCTGTCATCCATGTTCCTTGTTCCAATCCACTTTGTTGTCCAGAAGCTTTAAACAACAAACTCACTCAAGGTATATATGTCCTTGGTCCACAAAATCTTCATTTTCCTACATTTTCGCACTTTCTAAAACTATCACAATAAACAAACCACTTCATTCTTTCACCAAACATTATACCACAAAACCTGCTTCTATGCACACATACCATGTAAGGCATAATACAGCCTTTAACCCTTTCACCCCTAGGCAACTTCAGTAGACTCTACCATACATTTATTTGGATGAGTCCATTGTGTTCCACAGTGGTGAAAGGGTTAAGAGTATTTCAAAATGAATTGCAAGGTATACCTTGGGGTATGTAAAAACTAACAGATCAGTTGCACACCTATAAATCAACCACAATCTTTGGAGGAGGGCTTGTACTCGATTAGGCAACATAAAATATTTTACTTATTTGTGTCAGGATGATTCTAAAATATATTAACAGGAAAACTCTGTGTGCAAGTCATGGATGCCCCTGTCATCCATGTTCTTTGTTCCAATCCACTTTGTTGTCCAGAAGCTTTAAACAACAAACTCACTCAAGGTATATATGTCCTTGGTAGGGTTGTAAAGGGTCTGCCAGATGAACCAGTTACAAAATGTATTTACCAAATAGTGTAATATATAATTTACCCCATAGGAATCCCTGTGTTTACCTAGACTAGACATACCAACTATTAATTGAGGTCCAGGGGAACTCTTTAATACCCAAAAATAGTGCATGGTATGAGCTTAGAATGTTCTTTTTTGCACTCGATAGTAAAAAGATGGCACCAGAGCAATCTAAAAACTCGGACATATCTTAAAAAGGGCCCAGAAGGTTTATTAAAGGGGTCGTCTTAGCACTGTAGGACTCACTTTGACAGGTGGAATTTGCAATACATTGTGTCATTTAAAGAATACACATTTGAATCGTATTTGAGAAGCCCATATAAGGTGCAAGGAACAACAGAATGTGTTGTCAACTAAATTATGTTTCTCAACCATAATTTCAACATGTATGATTTGATGTAGCAATAATTCGTTTAAGAATCCGTTTTATTCTAACCGTTATAATTAAATATTTAAACTCACATGATTTGGGTGTGGAGAATTCTACTTGCGTGAGTAAACTATCATGCTTATCAGTATTTAAGCCATGAAAATACATGTTGCCCATCATTTTGGTAAAAATAAACTGAGTATCATTGATTATGAAGAAAATTATTTGCCAAATAATTGGTCAGAAGATTTTTCAAGTACTGGTATGCAGTTACTAAATTTGACCAGTTAGACAACCCTAGGTCTTAGTAGGTCAGTAAAATAATGACCAATATTTCCTTGTTATAGTCACTTGACTTTGTACCTATAACCATGAAATGCAAACTCATTCCACAAATTTGTGTACTGATACCTGTAGAAAGTTCCGTATAAATCAGAAGAAAAATTAAGCCAGCTGAACGAAAAGATTTTCTATTAAAAATAGTAACTGCTTACTTTACCTTAGCTCCACATCCCTGAAACACCAACTTGTTTGAGGTGTTTGTAAACTGAATACCTATATAAACTAATTCTGTATGCTGGACATTTACTAGCAGGACATAAACACTCTTATTGGAACATAGGAGAACATTTCATAACAAATTTGGTCAAAATCTAAATAGTATTTTTGCGAAGAGGTAGAGTTGTCTTGACTAATCAAAATGAAATGCTCTATAAATAATGATACCTACTTTCATTCAAAGTTTGGTTAAATCCATTATAGTCTTTCTTAAGAAGAAATCTCTAAATTGTTCGCTTACATATTACAGAATGTGTATTCACATTATTAATTTGTGTTTAAGTTATCTCCCCCTTTTTAATCATGAGCTGCGAGTGCATGCACTGTTTAAACTTACTTCTTTTTAACCTAAATGGAATAATTAATTTCACATAAAACATTGCAATCAAATAGACATGTTTCTGTATCATAACTTTTTGGAAAATATCCCCAGAAATAGTCAATCTCCATAATTGTGGTCATGGACATCTGTATGTGGTAACAACATCCATGGAAATCTGAATGTTGAAACACATGATCCATAGAGTTACACATAATTCATGGACGTCTGTGTGTCGTTTATACACAATACACAATGACCCATGGGCGTTGGAGTGTTGTCACTCATAATCTATGGATGTCTGCCTGTTGCTACACACAATTTCTGCACAAGTATGTTTTTTTAATACTCATAATGGAAGTTTTGATGATTTGTTACCCATGACCCATGTACATAGGAGTGTTGCTACACCAATACCTGTTCAATTGTGTACTGTTCCAGTACTGTTCCACATCATTTATGAATGAACGTCTGTGTGTTGTTTGTATACTGTTACACATGATATATGGATGTCAGTGTTTTTACACATATTTATGGATGTCTGTGTGTTGTGACACATAATGCATGGACATCTGTGTGTTGTTACACATGATGCATGGACGTCTGTGTGTTGTGACACATAATGCATGGACATCTGTGTTGCTACACATGATGCATGGACGTCTGTGTGTTGTTACACATGATGCATGGACATCTGTGTGATGCTACACATGATGCATGGACGTTTGTGTGTTGTTACACATGATGCATGGACATCAGTGTGTTGTTACACATGATGCATGGGCGTTTGTGTGTTGTAACACATGATGCATGGACGTCTGTGTGTTGTTACACATGATGCATGGACGTCTGTGTGTTGTTACTCATAATTCATGGACATCAGTGTGTTGTTACACATGATGCATGGACGTCTGTGTGTTGTTACACATGATGCATGGACGTTTGTGTGTTGTTACACATGATGCATGGACGTCTGTGTGTTGTTACACATGATGCATGGACGTCTGTGTGTTTTTACACATGATACATGGACATCAGTGTGTTGTTACACATGATGCATGGACATCAGTTTGTTGTTACACATAATGCATGGACATCTGTGTGTTGTTACACATGATGCATGGACGTTTGTGTGTTGGGACACATAATTCAAGGACGTCGGTGTGTTTTTACACATAATGCATGGACATCAGTGTGTTGTTACATATGATGCATGGACGTCCGTGTGTTGTTACACATGATGCATAGACGTCTGTGTGTTGTTACACATGATGCATGGACGTCCGTGTGTTGTTACACATGATGCATGGACGTTTGTGTGTTGGGACACATAATTCATGGACGTCTGTGTGTTGTTACACATGATGCATGGATGTCTGTGTGTTGTTACACATGATGCATGGACGTCCGTGTGTTGTTACACATGATGCGTGGACGTTTGTGTGTTGGGACACATAATTCATGGACGTCTGTGTGTTGTTACACATGATGCATGGACATCTGTGTGTTGTTACACATGATGCATGGATGTCTGAGTGTTGTTACACATGATGTATGGACGTTTGTGTTGTTACACATGATGCATGGACGTTTGTGTGTTGGGACACATAATTCATGGACGTCTGTGTGTTGTTACACATGATGCATGGACATCTGTGTGTTGTTACACATGATGCATGGATGTCTGAGTGTTGTTACACATGATGCATGGACGTTTGTGTTGTTACACATGATGCATGGACGTTTGTGTGTTGTTACACACGATGCATGGATGTCTGAGTGTTGTTAGACATGATGCATGGACATCTGGGTGTTGTTACACATGACGCATGGACGTCTGTGTGGTGTTACACATGATGCATGGCCGTTTGTGTGTTGTTACACGTGATGCATGGACGTTTGTGTTGTTATACATGAAGCATGGACGTTTGTGTGATGGACGTCTGTGTGTTACACATGATGCATGTACGTATGTGTGTTGTTACACGTGATGCATGGACGTTTGTGTTGTTACACATTATGCATGGACGTCTGTGTGTTGTTCCACATGATGCATGGATGTCTGTGTGTTGGGACACATAATTCATGGATGTCTGTGTGTTGTTAGACATGATGCATGGACGTCCGTGTGTTGTTACACATGATGCATGGACGTCTGTGTGTTGTTACACATGATGCATGGACGTTTGTGTGTTGTTACACATGATGCATGGACGTTTGTGTGTTGTTACACATGATGCATGGACGTCTGTGTGTTGTTACTCATAATTCATGGATATCTGTGTGTTGGGACACATAATTCATGGATGTCTGTGTGTTGTTAGACATGATGCATGGACATCTGTGTGTTTTTACACATGATTCATGGACATCAGTGTGTTGTTACACATGATGCATGGGCGTTTGTGTGTTGTAACACATAATGCATGGACATCTGTGTGTTATTACACATAATTCATGGATGTCTGTGTGTTGGGACACATAATTCATGGATGTCTGTGTGTTGGTAGACATGATGCATGGACATCTGTGTGTTGTTACACATGATGCATGGACGTCTGTGTGTTGTTACACATGATACATGGACGTCTGTGTGTTTTTACACATGATGCATGGACGTCTGTGTGTTGTTACTCATAATTCATGGACGTCCGTGTGTTGTTACACATGATACATGGACGTCTGTGTGTTTTTACACATGATACGTCTGTGTGTTGTTACACATGATGCATGGACGTCTGTGTGTTGTTACACATAATGCATGAATGCCTTTTGAAACACTGACCCTGGTTTAAGGTATTATTAGATATTAATGTTCCTTCTTTTTTCAATATATTCTGCTAATTCCAATAAAAATGGATTGTAAAGAGGCGTAAAGTCCAGGTCACTCATTTGAACCTACAATATAAAAAGAATGATTATATTATGAATGTTGGACAGTCATCTTAACACACTATAAGTAACATCAATATAATAAAATAATAATCAGGCCAAAATTATGGTTGTCAGGGCTACGACTTAGTGAATTGTTTTGCTTTGTTTCAGCATTTCTAAAAAGGGAGATTTCTGAGATTAAACTAAAATATTGACAGTGGTTCCTGAGGATTGGCAATGCTTCTTACTACTGTGGCAGATTCTAACTGTATGTAGCTAGATTACAATCGCTTTCTAGCTCCGCACTAGAGGTGAATTTCCCTTTAGCTCATTGGTAGAGCGTCTGATTAGGAAGTCCGGGGTCACAGATTTTATCCCCGGTGGAAGCAAACTAATCTCATTCCTGTCACAAATGATGCCTGTTGCCCTTCCTTTCCTGTGGCCTTTCATGTGGCCCTTCCTGTGGTGGTGCTTATCAAAATTTCATGGGTATTGCGAACTGATTCTGATACCCCAGCTCATCTGCCTCTTTCTTCTAAGTAATTATATATGATCATATTGCGAATTTTACATAGTGAATTCCTGTCTATTACGAAGCAAATCTGCGGTCCTCTCAGGAAAAATTCAGTGTTATCTGAACACTGTAGTACGAACCCGACACACCGGACTGCAGTGATCGCGACCATGGTCACAGAGAGACCCCCGTTGGACTACTAAATACAGTGAATTATGTTTTCAATGACATTCTAAGTGTTGAGTTATGACTGCAGTTACTGAGGTTGAGGTCAGCGTGTTAGATTTCATCATTATCATCTGTGATGTTATCACCACGACAGAGATGTCCGATATTGGGGTTGTGAAAGATATACAATGTAATCAATGTTTCATACAGTGAGGAGGGGGAGAGAATGGAGTGTTTCGTACAGTGAGGAGGGGGAGAGAATGGAGTGTTTTGTACAGTAAGGAGGGGGAAAGAAAGGAGTGTTTCGTACAGTGAGGAGGGGGAGAGAATGGAGTGTTTAGAACAGTGAGGAGGGGGAAAGAATGGAGTGTTTCGTACAGTGAGGAGGGGGAAAGAATGGAGTGTTTCGTACAGTGAGGAGGGGGAAAGAATGGAGTGTTTCGTACAGTGAGGAGGGGGAAAGAATGGAGTGTTTAGTACAGTGAGGAGGGGGAGAGAATGGAGTGTTTAGTACAGTGAGGAGGGGGAGAGAATGGAGTGTTTAGTACAGTGAGGAGGGGGAAAGAATGGAGTGTTTCGTACAGTGAGGAGGGGGAAAGAATGGAGTGTTTCGTACAGTGAGGAGGGGGAAAGAATGGAGTGTTTCGTACAGTGAGGAGGGGGAAAGAATGGAGTGTTTCGTACAGTGAGGAGGGGGAAAGAATGGAGTGTTTAGTACAGTGAGGAGGGGGAGAGAATGGAGTGTTTAGTACAGTGAGGAGGGGGAAAGAATGGAGTGTTTAGTACAGTGAGGAGGGGGAGAGAATGGAGTGTTTCGTACAGTGAGGAGGGGGAAAGAATGGAGTGTTTCGTACAGTGAGGAGGGGGAAAGAATGGAGTGTTTAGTACAGTGAGGAGGGGGAGAGAATGGAGTGTTTCGTACAGTGAGGAGGGGGAAAGAATGGAGTGTTTCGTACAGTGAGGAGGGGGAGAGAATGGAGTGTTTCGTACAGTGAGGAGGGGGAGAGAATGGAGTGTTTCGTACAGTGAGGAGGGGGAGAGAATGGAGTGTTTCGTACAGTGAGGAGGGGGAGAGAATGGAGTGTTTCGTACAGTGAGGAGGGGGATAGAATGGAGTGTTTAGTACAGTGAGGAGGGGAAGAGGATGGAGTGTTTCGTACAGTGAGGAGGGGGAAAGAATGGAGTGTTTCGTACAGTGAGGAGGGGGAAAGAATGGAGTGTTTAGTACAGTGAGGAGGGGAAGAGGATGGAGTGTTTAGTACAGTGAGGAGGGGGATAGAATGGAGTGTTTAGTACAGTGAGGAGGGGAAGAGGATGGAGTGTTTCGTACAGTGAGGAGGGGGAAAGAATGGAGTGTTTCGTACAGTGAGGAGGGGGAAAGAATGGAGTGTTTAGTACAGTGAGGAGGGGAAGAGGATGGAGTGTTTAGTACAGTGAGGAGGGGGATAGAATGGAGTGTTTAGTACAGTGAGGAGGGGAAGAGGATGGAGTGTTTCGTACAGTGAGGAGGGGGAAAGAATGGAGTGTTTCGTACAGTGAGGAGGGGGAAAGAATGGAGTGTTTAGTACAGTGAGGAGGGGAAGAGGATGGAGTGTTTAGTACAGTGAGGAGGGGGAGAGAATGGAGTGTTTAGTACAGTGAGGAGGGGGAGAGAATGGAGTGTTTCGTACAGTGAGGAGGGGGATAGAATGGAGTGTTTAGTACAGTGAGGAGGGGAAGAGGATGGAGTGTTTCGTACAGTGAGGAGGGGGAAAGAATGGAGTGTTTCGTACAGTGAGGAGGGGGAAAGAATGGAGTGTTTAGTACAGTGAGGAGGGGAAGAGAATGGAGTGTTTAGTACAGTGAGGAGGGGGATAGAATGGAGTGTTTAGTACAGTGAGGAGGGGAAGAGGATGGAGTGTTTAGTACAGTGAGGAGGGGGAGAGAATGGAGTGTTTAGTACAGTGAGGAGGGGGAAAGAATGGAGTGTTTCGTACAGTGAGGAGGGGGAGAGAATGGAGTGTTTCGTACAGTGAGGAGTGGGATAGAATAGAGTGTTTCCTACAGTGAGGAGGGGGAAAGAATGGAGTGTTTAGTGCAGTGAGAAGGGGGAAAGAATGGAGTGTTTAGTACAGTGAGGAGAGGGAGAGAATGGAGTGTTTCTCACAGTGAGGAGGGGGAGAGAATAGTGTGTTCTGTACAGTGAGGAGAGGGAGAGAATGGAGTGTTTAGTACAGTGAGGAGGGGAAGAGGATGGAGTGTTTAGTACAGTGAGGAGTGGGATAGAATAGAGTGTTTCCTACAGTGAGTAGGGGGAAAGAATGGAGTGTTAAGTACAGTGAGGAGAGGGAGAGAATGGAGTGTTTCTCACAGTGAGGAGGGGGAGAGAATAGTGTGTTCTGTACAGTGAGGAGAGGGAGAGAATGGAGTGTTTAGTACAGTGAGGAGGGGGAGAGGATGGAGTGTTTAGTACAGTGAGGAGGGGGAGAGAATGGAGTGTTTCGTACAGTGAGGAGGGGGAGAGAATTAACTGATTAAGTCGAGCCCTTGGGATACGCTATAACCGTGTTTGAATGTACTCTCTTTCCTGTTTTACTACTTATACTAATAGTTTTCACAAGGGGCAAATTACCCCCCTAGAAATCATTCCTCGTTCCTGGGAGGGGGATAACAAATTTCATTTTTACAACATACACATGATAATTTCTCTGCTATTGATTTGATATATAACAAAGTATCATAAGTGATACAAATCCCCTGATTCACACACTGTGACATATGTAAGAGGAAATGAAGCCGCTTGAGGGATGACAAAGTTTTTTCTAAAATTAGTAACAGTGACCTTGACATTCAACGCAGAAACTTGAAAGACAGGTGTTCAAGGCATTGCCATACCATACACTAGGATGAAGTTTCATGAAACTCCATTCAGGAATGTAGTTGATTGAGCGATGACAACGTTTTTTTTCCAAAAATAGTAACAGTGACCTTGACCTTCAACATAGAAACCCGAAACTAAAACTTATTCAAGGCATTGCTGTACCAAACATTTGCATTAAGTTTCATGAAATTCGGTTGAGGAATGAAGTCGGTAGAGTGATGACAATGTTTTTCTAAAAATAGTAACAGTGACCTTGACCTTCAACATAGAAATACCAAAGGCGAACTTGTTCAAAGTATTGCCATAGCGAACACTTGTATGAAGTTTCATGAAATTCGGTTGAGGAATGAAGTTGCTAGAGCGATGACAAAGAGTGTAACATACGTACGTATGTACGTACGGGTGGAATCCTATATCCCCTCAAACTTTAGTTGCGAGGGGATAATAACAGACCTTGTGATAATATTTTCAATAAGTTCAAAAGGACCACCAGGGGATTTTTGTACTGTTTAGATGTAAGTGGCCCATTCAAACTTTACTTTCATCTGTAATAATATTTTGAAGAGTAATAATATCATATAGATTCTGTAAGTTCAAAATAATAATTTTTGCTTCATGACTGGAGTCATGTAATATTCATATCATGGAGACGATAATCAGACTTATTTTTAAAACAAATTTTCATGTTCACATATATCCAGTGATTATAAATGAAATGATGAACAGTAATGCTTTCTTTCCCGAGACAGAAAACTACATAGAAAACTCACTTTCATATGATCCATTGCAATAGTAACGTCAGTTCGAGATAAGATCAAGTCTTTCTCGTAACGCAGAGCCTTTGGACTGAAGTGGGTCAGGATGGTTTTCTTCGCTTTCATCCGTGTACTAGCGTTCAGTGCATCTGTTACAGTACTGAAACAAATGAAATCAGAAATTGGGTTGGAACAATTTTTTTCCTGAAATAGGTTTGAGATTTTGTGAAATTTTGACATATTCTATGAGACGCAACTAGGGCACACAATAAGTATGATCTGCCAATAAGGACGAGTTGTACCATACCTTAGGAGATTTCGCATGTGGTTATATATTGGTTTATTTGGGACTTGGAGTGAAAGGAGTGAAACACAAAATAAATTTCACAATGCCAAATGATTTCTTTGCAACAACCAGATTTCGCCAGACCGTCTTTATGCACCAATGACTACACATGCACAAATTACAAACTTCTGTAAGTGTAATTTTCATCTTGAAGGAAACATGGAAATCATTTTTTTGGACAGGATTAACACACTTTATATATATAACACGTCATTAAAGGTATGTTTTCATCCGAAGGTGTCATAACTTTTCAATGTTTTCATTTCTTTGTTGTATTACTGGTAGTTGTGTTCAATGGTACACAGTTACATTGCTATCGATAGATACCATACACGTAAATATAAGTATCTATACATGTTCTCCTGTGCAGCCAGGTATGATGAAGTTACAAATGGCTGTATACTTACGGAATCTAAAAATAACTTGTATCATACTGACGGGTTTCAATAATGAATATAAGTATCGCAGTAAATAACACTATATTATATATAGGTTCTCCTGTGCAGTCAGGTATGATGAAGTTACAAACGGCTGTATACTTACGGAATCTAAAAATAACTTGTATCATACTGACGGGTTTCAATAATGAATATAAGTATCGCAGTAAATAACACTAATTTTATACATAGGTTCTCCTGTGCAGTCAGTCAATGGGCCAAGTTCATGTTGAGCCGAAACATACATATATAATTTATAAAGCGATGGGTTGATGGTCTCCGTGTAATATAAATTAATTTCTTTCAATGATACTTGATAGGTAGATCTATATACAAATTATGATGCCGATTCATGAAACAGAGCTGAGATACAGTATGCCCTGGAAACCTGTTTTTCACAGTAGTAATGAGGTCAAGGTCAAGGTCAAGGTCAAAGGCCAAAGAAGGCTAAAAAGAAACTTAAAAAAACCTTTTAATACATCTGTCTCAAATCTTTTTATTAACTGTGTTCCGAGGAAACTTAACATCATTTTATGTCAGCTAAGAAATTTTAAAAGTGATCTTAACTTTGATAAGTTACAAGACCATCTGATTGATGATGCTTCCTGTGTATGTGGTGCACAGAGGGAAGATCTAATACATTTTTTCTTTCAATGTCCTCTGTATTCAAATATTAGGCATCATATTACCACTATTTTTAATTTATTAGGATATCTAAATCTGCACTGTTTATTATATGGTATTAGTAATGCATCTGACCAATTAAATAAAACTATTCTTATACAAATTAATATTCATGTATTGCTATTATTATTATTCAGGCAAGTTATGTCCCTTAAATAATGAGTATTAGACATAAGCTGGTGTGGGTGTGGGTGTGCATGTGTGCGAGAGGAAAACGAATTACAACATTTTATATATTTAAGCATTGTACATAGCTACCGGAAATAGAAGAAGACTGATATAGGCATAGTCTGTTGTCTAATTCTTTTGTCAATACTGTTCTAATGTCTTCTTTAATGTTAACTTATATGTTTGTATTATAGATGTATTGTCAATAAAATATTTTTGAAATTGAAAAAGGCCAAAAAAGAGGTCATTTTAGAATGTCATGTGACACACAGCCTTCCTATGATGTACCTATAAACAAAGTTTGATGTTCATTCATGAAACAGTGGCCGAGATATTCTGGGAACCATAGTCAGCACAGACAAACAAATGAACACTATATAACTCTAACTTTGGTTGAAGTGGGAATACAAAACTGGAAGGATGAAACCTGATCACATGTGCTAATGCTTATTCTTTAGTACGTATAGAGAGTCAGTCTGATAGCTAGAAAGGGATTGAGCAAACAGCAAGACTGATGTTAGGTGTCTACTTAAACATTTTTTTAATTAACCTTGTACCTTTGAAAGTCTTGATTTAACCATTTTTATAGCAACACTTTAGCAAATTACAGGATAAATATATCATGGCTATAGGCCTTATGGCTTTGTAGAAATGTAGTTTTGATATTTTAACACAAATATCACAAGTCTAGGTGCAACAGATTTATACAAGAATTAAGAAATATTTAATATATCTGACACCAATGACTTTAAAATTGGGTCAGGTTATTCATTTAAGCTTGATAACCCTGTTTCTCAGAAAGCTGCAGGACAAATATAATGATTCCATGTCTCAGGTATCTGCAGAAAAAAAGTGTTCAAAATTTGAACACATTTGATCCATGTGACCTAGAAATGGGCCAATGTAAATAAATGAACAAAAGTTGACAGTCTGTCAAACCATGTAAAAACCAAATACCACTGGACCTTACAGATCTTGTCATTTGAGATTGAAATAAATAAACTTAATCCTTTATCCAGCAAAATACAACCCAAATATGATTACTCTAAGACTTATAGATCTTAAGAAGAATTTGTTCAAAGTTTAAAAAACAAGAGATCCCAGAGGGATCTTGGCGCCCACCATTGTACCATCTTCATTAGTTCTTTGTCAGTTCGATCTTTTCTCTTCTTTCCTCTTATCTGTTTGATCGAGTCATGTTAACAGTAAATGCACCTTGAGGTTACTTTTATCTTAACTTAATACTGATGTGTATGAAAGCCAACCTTCAAAGTGAGTTTGTCATTTCACATATTTACTAGTACAGTACCTAATGTGAAAGAAATTGCAATATGAGAAAGATCAATCTGTTTAGTTCTTCCTTTAGCCATTTTGTTTTTATGATCAGTCTCAAAATATAACATGCACAACGAGGGATCAAGGGGAACCTACATCTTTCTACTTCCCGAGAAATAGCGATAATAAAACTTTCACAATCAAAATCTAAGATGGCTGCCTGTCGGCCATGTTGTTTATCAGATCAGTCTCAAAAGTTGCCCTGCACAGCTTAAGACCAAGGGAAACCTACATATAGAATTTGAGAAAGATCCCTCTGGTACTTCCCAAGAAATAGCGATAACAAACTTTCACTATCAAAATCCAAGATGGCTGCCTGTCGGCCATGTTGTTTATCAGATCAGTCTCAAAAGTTGCCCTGCACAGCTTAAGACCAAGGGAAACCTACATATAGAATTTGAGAAAGATCCCTCTGGTACTTCCCAAGAAATAGCGATAACAAACTTTCACTATCAAAATCCAAGATGGCTGCCTGTCGGCCATGTTGTTTATCAGATCAGTCTCAAAAGTTGCCCTGCACAGCTTAAGACCAAGGGGAACCTACAGATCAAATTTGAGAAAAATCCCTCTGATACTTCCCGAGATATAGCGATAACAAACTTACACTTTCAAAATCCAAGACGGCTGCCTGCCGGCCATGTTGTTTTTCCGATCAGTCACAAACGTTGCACTGCACAGCTAGGGATCAAGGGGAACCTACATACAAAATTTGAGAAAGATCTCTCTGGTACTTCCCGAGATATAGCGATAACAAACTTTCATTATCAAAATCCAAGATGGCTGCCTGTCGGCCATGTTGTTTTTCCGATCAGTCACAAAAGTTGCACTGCACAGCTAAAGACCAAGGGAAACCTACATATAGAATTTGAGAAAGATCCCTCTGGTACTTCCCAAGAAATAGAGATAACAAACTTTCACTATCAAAATCCAAGATGGCTGCCTGTCGGCCATGTTGTTTATCAGATCAGTCTCAAAAGTTGCCCTGCACAGCTTAAGACCAAGGGGAACCTACAGATCAAATTTGAGAAAAATCCCTCTGATACTTCCCGAGATATAGCGATAACAAACTTACACTTTCAAAATCCAAGACGGCTGCCTGCCGGCCATGTTGTTTTTCCGATCAGTCACAAAAGTTGCACTGCACAGCTAGGGATCAAGGGGAACCTACATACAAAATTTGAGAAAGATCTCTCTGGTACTTCCCGAGATATAGCGATAACAAACTTTCATTATCAAAATCCAAGATGGCTGCCTGTCGGCCATGTTGTTTTTCCGATCAGTCACAAAAGTTGCACTGCACAGCTAAAGACCAAGGGAAACCTACATATAGAATTTGAGAAAGATCCCTCTGGTACTTCCCAAGAAATAGAGATAACAAACTTTCACTATCAAAATCCAAGATGGCTGCCTGTCGGCCATGTTGTTTATCAGATCAGTCTCAAAAGTTGCCCTGCACAGCTAAAGACCAAGGGAAATCTACATATAGAATTTGAGAAAGATCCCTCTGGTACTTCCCAAGAAATAGTGATAACAAACTTTCATCATCAAAATCCAAGACGGCTGCCTGTCGGCCATGTTGTTTTTTTCCGATCAGTCACAAAAGTTGCACTGCACAGCTAGGGACCAAGGGGAACCTACATACAAAATTTGAGAAAGATCTCTCTAGTACTTCCCAAGAAATAGTGATAACAAACTTTCAACATCAAAATCCAAGATGGCTGCCTGTCGGCCATGTTGTTTATCAGATCAATCTCAAAAGTTGCCCTGCACAGCTAAGGACCAACGGGAACCTACATATAGAATTTGAGAAAGATCCCTCTGGTACTTCTTGAGAAATAGCGATAACAAACTTTCATTATCAAAATCCAAGATGGCTGCCTGCCGGCAATGTTGTTTTTCCGATCAGTCTCAAAAGTTGCCCTGCACAGCTAAGGACCAAGGGGAACCAACATATAGAATTTGAGAAAGATCCCTCTGGTACTTCTTGAGAAATACCGATAACAAGAATTGTTTAAGGACGGTCGACGGATGACGGACCAAGGACGCAGGGTGATTTGATGGTGGGCTAAAAAATGGACTCTCGTGACCTTGGAAGCAGTTCAGGTCAGTGATTTGAACAAACTCAGAGTCCTTTGTTGCAGCAAGCTATAAGACAATAGATATTTTTATGACATGGCTATGAGGCTGATAGCATATTTGTCAGCCTTCAGGTAGAGTTATTTTCTGAAGGAGAAACCCAAGGAAAACAAAGGGCTGGCAAATGGGATATCATCTTAATAAATAGCAAGGTGACAAGTGTGTTTTTTCCTGTATGGATGAAGAAAGTATTCTCCACCGCTCTGTGTTTACCAATGCCGCTGTTTTTTTCCATGTTTTACACTTAAATACCATGTAACACATGTGTGCGATGATTTTAACACGTGTTTGGTGATTATACCACACAAACAAATAATTATGTAAGTCCTCATCTGAAAGGTCCAGAAACTTGTGAAAACCACTGTTTTCAGCCATCTGTATTGCTGTTAGGCCTAACATCTTTATAGTTAGTTACTACGCCATGTGTAACAATAGTTATAGGTGGCATACGTTAGGCGACACCTGACTGGCTGACAGCAGCATGTAAATGGAGGGTGTCAGTCCTGCAGAAGGTGATAGGTCACTAAATTATTGACTATTTACTAGTTGATTTACAACAAAGGTTTTGGCAGAAGTGTCGATAGCTTTAATTTACTACCTACTGAAGTTACCATTAGGAGGTACATTATCATTATTCTAGACCTTATGGATCTTTCAAAGTCATTTGCATATTTCAACAGATTTGAGAAATGTGACTGTTAGTCAAATTGGATCAAGCTTTGATTGAGCTTCAACCAAACAACCTGTAAGACAATTATTGATGTCAAGCTGGCAAATGTGCCCTACTATATTTACCTATGATTGGACTTCCTGGCAAAATCTGCTGATGTAGAAGGAAAGGTTGCTTCATGTATCAAGATGTCACAGTTGTAACCTGGGTAATAAAAAAATATTTTTGTGATTAGTGAAAGAAATAATCATATACTTATACAACCATACATCACAATTAACTTTTCTCCATCAGAACCACTTTCATTTAACAGACTTTAATGTAAGGAAAACTAGAAATACCTAAAACATTATGTCCCACCTAGTGTTGGTAATCGGACAAAATTTCATGATTGATTTTTAACTAGCTGTTGATAGATTTTAATAATCATTGTAAAGAAATACATGATGAAATCCTCCATACTGTTGTTGCGAGTCCTTCACGCAAACAATGGATCTGTAATTTATCGTCTGAAATAATCATATGCAGGCTTGAAAGCAAAAGTAAATCTGTGACAATGCTAACACAGCAGCTGGAAATATGTATCAAGATATTTCTGCTGCTTAGTATTCAGGAGACAGATAGGCTTGAAATTTTGAATCACTCTCCACATGTATTGGGTTCATACCTGGTGGAATAACTTATAGGTACACACCTGGTGACGTAACTTAGCTACACACCTGGTGACATAACTTAGCTACACACCTGGTGACGTAACTAAGCTACACACCTGGTGACGTAACTTAGCTACACACCTAGTGACATAACTTAAGTACACACCTGGTGACGTAACTTTGGTACACACCTGGTGACATAAGTTTGGATCACACCTGGTGACATATCTTTTGTACACACCTGGTGACAAAACTTTTGTACACACCTGTTGACATAACTTTTGTACACGCCTGGTGACATAACTTTGTAACACACCTGGTGACAGAAGTTTGGTGCACACCTGGTGACATAACTTTTGTACAGACGTGGTGACATAAGTTTGGAACACACCTAGTGACATAACTTTGGAACACACCTGGTGACATAAGTTTGGAACACACCTGGTGACATAACTTTGGTACACACCTTGTAACATAACTTAGGTACACACCTGGTAACATAAGTTTGGTGCACACCTGGTGACATAACTTTGGAACACACCTGGTAACATAGCTAAGGTACACACCTGGTGACATAACTTTGGAATACAACTGGTGTCATAACTTAAGTACACACCTGGTGATTAGTTTTAGCAGACAGCCAGTGACATCATCGAGGTACACAATTTAGACACTCACCCTAGTGACACAATTAGGATACTAACCATGTTGTTAATTTTCATGCTTGTATTAGTATGTGCCATTAATTTAAATCTTGTACTCTTATCTGGTGCTTCGCACCGAGTCATTTCATCATCATTCTTTTTTTGCCATTATTTATTATTACATTTTTGCTCTCTTTTATAAATTTAATTTTGAATTCTACTATCTCTTTTCATTCGATTTACCTATTTTGCTTCTTCTTTCATGCAGGTTTTATACGCCTATCTGTACATACGTTTACATTCACTTCCACTCCTTTTTCTCACTTTGTTAATACATGTATGTGCATGTGCATGTTTAAGTTTCATAAAAGTTAGTTGTGTTATTTACCGTAATTATCTATACCATAGCTCAACTCGGATAATAGTCGTTTTATCTGTTTATTTGTTAAGTTTCCCTTAGCCGGGTCAATCATCCCGAGAGCTCAGCTTCAGTATTGGCCATATCTACTCTTACCACTTGAGCCGAGCCATCGATATGATTGACCAGGCTATGCACTCTATATATTCCGGAAAACATGTTGAAGGTAACACAACTTAGATACACAGCCTGGTGACACAATTTTGATTCACACCCCAGTGGCAGAGCTTTCTCTAATACACAAAATAAGAATGTACACAACACCAGGTTTGGATACCCTTCCCAGAAAATTTGAGTCAAGTGTTGTAACAGTCATTATGTTGTTCTATATCCTAAACTAAATATTTGTTTTTCAAGCTGCATTTGTATCGTTCGACTATCATACTCACCTAAATTGATGAGATTAATATTATACATAGTATCTCCCGAGAAAACCAGGTGCCATCCAGCTTCATGTTTGAAGGAAACAGAATGTGCCCGTCCACGGTTGTGAAGTGCTTTTACTGTTCTCAACTGTAAAACCAGCATGCAAACAATTTATGAGCCATAAAGTATAAAACATAGATCATAAGAGTGAACTAACAAGTCTTAACACATCATGCAATCATTTATTAAAAATTGATATTTATGACATTTTAAAGTGAATTATCATCTAACATTCCTTTAAATAAAACTGATCACAGATTAAGGATAGAAAGCAAAACCTTTCTTAATAAAAAAAGTTATTAATATACTTAATAAAACCAATCATAACCATAGACACATATTACCTCTTTCAGTTTTAGTTTTTGATGAATTTCTGATGAATATCCTACTGATCTGAAGGTCCTAGACATGTGCATCCTGAATAATTAAAAACAACAACATAAACTTCAGTATGTAGCCTTAAACAGAAACTAAATATATATCAGTACAAGTGTTAAATATGAATTTTCAATAGTATGAAACATTTTAGTAGTACATAACTAAACCATTCTACATTCTCCCAGATGTTCTACAAAAAACAAAAAAAAACTATTTATTTTAAAACAGTTGTGAAACACAATTCTATCAACTTATACACATTGGCCCGAATGGGAGGTTGGAGGGGGGTCTCAATGTGGAAAGTAACTGGAGCAACTGGGGAAAACACATATGGTCAGACAGAAGACCCTGGCTGCCACAGTGAAAAGTAGGATGGAGAGACAAGAATAGAGGAACCAAGTGTTACAGACAAGTAGGATGGAGAGACAAGAATAGAGGTCCCAAGTGTTACAGACAAGTAGGATGGAGAGACAAGAAAAGAGATACCAAGTGTTACAGACAAGTAGGATGGAGAGACAAGAATTGAGTTACCAAGTGTTACAGACAAGTAGGATGGAGAGACAAGAATAGAGATACCAAGTATTACAGACAAGTAGGATGGAAAGACAAGAATAGAGGTCCCAAGTGTTACAGACAAGTAGGATGAAGAGACAAGAAAAGAGTTACCAAGTGTTACAGACAAGTAGGATGGAGAGACAAGAATAAAGTTACCAAGTGTTAAAGACAAGTAGGATGGAAAAACAAGAAAAGAGTTACCAAGTGTTACAGACAAGTAGGATGGATAGACAAGAATAGAGGCTCCAAGTGTTACAGACAAATAGGATGGAGGGACAAGAATAGAGTTCCCAAGTGTTACAGACAAGTATTATGTAGAGACAAGAATAGAGTTACCAAGTGTTGCAGACAAGTAGGATGAACAGACAAGAATAGAGTTCCCAAGTGTTACAGACAAATAGGATGGAGAGACAAGCCCCCAGTTACCAAGTGTTAAAAACAAGTAGGATGGAGAAGCAAGAATAGAGATACCAAGTGTTACAGACAAGTAGTATGGAGAGACAAGAAAAGAGTTACCAAGTGTTGCAGACAAGTAGGATGGGGAGACAAGAATAGAGTTCCCAAGTGTTACAGACAAATAGGATGGAGAGACAAGCCCCCAGTTACCAAGTGTTACGAACAAGTAGGATGGAGATACAAGAATAGAGTTACAAAGTGTTACAGACAAATAGGATGGAGGGACAAGAATAGAGTTACCAAGTGTTGCAGACAAGTAGGATGGATAGACAAGAATAGAGGCTCCAAGTGTTACAGACAAGTAGGATGGAGAAAAAAGAATAGAAATACCGTGTTACAGACAAGTAGGATGGAGAAACAAGAATAGAGATACCAAGTGTTACAGACAAGTAGGATGGAGAGACAAGAATAGAGTTACCAAGTGTTAAGATGTGGATTGCAAATCAATTTTATTCTTTTAAGTCCCCTTAGCTGAAGGCCTAATAGAAAAAAACACTCAAAGGAGATCCCAATTAATTGCCTTTTATGATAACATGCAGTGAGTTACAGCAGGCTTATCCCGAGAACCTGCAGAGGTCAATACACGCGAGTCTTATTCTTACTTCTTTTGCACTAGAACAGTAATATTAACCAAATATAAAAGCAAACCAACGGATGGACAATTATTTATAAACTTACTTTGTCTCTTCCAAAATGTTGGGCACAAAATAGGCTATAGCATATCTTAAAACTACCATATCATCCTCTCCAATGATGTCAACAGGCTCCACAGGAACACCAATCTCCTTAAATGCCAGATGTCTTTGCTTAAGAATACCAGCTAGGCCCTACAACAACCAAAATACAAATGATCAAATCAAAATTCACGATATTTCCCTAAAGCTATCCATACCCTGTGAACAACTAAGAAAAGTAGAAATCCACAGTTCCCATCTGATAAAAGAGTACATATTGGTTAGTAAAAAATGTACATTCAAGCAAAAAAAAATGTGTAGAGCAACAAAGCCATATAAAGTTGAATCCTGTTAAACTACACACCTGTTTCTGGATAAAATGTCGGAAATAATGAATTTCCCTAGAAGTGAAACTAAAGCAGATCATGATTAACATTCATTTCTTTAACATTCTAAGAACAAGAGGCCCAATGGGCCTGCATCGCTCACCTGGTGTTAATCTCACACTTGTAATCTTAAAAGTGGACTAAAATACAGCTACAGGCAGCTGATCAGCGTTTGATTCATAAGAACCAATTAAAAGATTTAAACATATGACGCCCGTGACATTGAATATCGAACAAGGACATTAGGTTGAAAGTGGGTCAAGGTCATTCATTTGAACAAACTTTGTAGACCTTCATCCCAGCGTGCTACAGTCCCAATACCAGTACCCTGGGCGTTTTGGTTATTGAAAAGTGGTTTGAAGATTTTACGACTTTTGACCCCCTGTGACTTTGAAAGTGGGTCAAGGTCATTCATTTGAACAAACTTGGTAATCATTCATCCCAGCATGCTACAGGCCAAATGTCAGTACCCTGGGCCTTTTGGTTATTCAGAAGAAGTTGTTTGAAGATTTTAACATATTTGACCCCTGTGACCTTGAAAGTAGTTCAAGGTCATTCGTTTGAACAAACATGGTAGCCCTTCATCCCAGCATGATACTGGCCAAATATCATCAGCCTGGGCCTCTTGATTATTCAGAAGAAGTTGTTTAATTAAGCATTGAACTGTCAAAAACAGTTCAATACTTATATTTACGTTTTTTCTTCCTCTTATGTTCTTTTTTAACTTAGAATTTATATTTAAAATTAAAAATGCCCGCCTTATCGACAGTCCACACAATTTCGTTCAATGATTTGAACAGCGTATTGTCGCGTGCTGATCAGCAAACAAAGTAGTACTTTATTTTAACAAACACTTCAATTTCATTTCACAATTCAGTATCAATACAATTGCGTATGATATGTCTATAGGGTGATTTAAGTTTATCAATAGAAATCTGAGCTGAAAGTTAGATTTTAAATTGTTCCGATTTCCCCCCAGAACAAATTTCGCGCATGGATAAATACAGTGAACACCGTGAATCCGACCTTGACCTCCATGAGGGAGTTATTTTTGGAAGATAAATTGAATGTTTCTCTTTGCTCATTTTGTGAAGAATCCATACGTGAATTTATTTGTTGATGGTATGGGAATCTGACTACAGTCGGTATATTCTATAACAGCCTCATTATTTGACATGTCATGATCAGAAACTGGGGAAACCGTGGCTGCGAGACGTGTGAAACTGATATCGTTTGAAGTAAGTGATCTTGCAACGGAGCACAGGGGTTCGTTACAAATGTCTGAAATGTTTATGTGTGCTGTGACTCATATCAGTAGGTCTGTAACATTTCAGACATTTGTAACTAACCCCTGTTGATCTGATAAATTGCATGAGTATTAAAATTGCATTGGTGATTTCAACCGATGTGCATTTTTTACGATATTGCAGATCTTGGTCTTGTTTTTGTTGTAATAAAAGTATTTTTTATTTACTTTTTTCTTTTGCACATAAATTTACAATGACATTGTCAAGTCTCACAATGCCCAGCGATATTTCAGCAGCCGTCATGTTTATTTACATTGGATATTGTAGTTCCGGTCAGTGTTGTATTAAAAAACTAAAAAGCACACGTTGTAAATAGCCCTGAACTCATTCACCCATGAAAACACATTTTGTTCCAAGGTTGGAATAGTTCATTACAAACTTTCAGGGGTGAATGAGTTAATTGGACACATGTGTCGACTTACAAACGTTCAATTGTCCCAGCATTGATCCATCTGAGCATTGTTAAAGGTTACCATGGGGACATGCATGTGACAATTTTAATGTCATACTAATTTTCTATATAAGAATGAATACTACTGTACACACTTATTTTAGCACACTCATTTTTTTCTCTCATAATGTTCAAATATTATATCTAGAAACCGTATGTTTCTCTTGTGAATATATTATTCCTGTGTATGACCATGAACTTTGATGTCACAGTGGAAGATGAGGTCGTAAAGAAACCCATTGTTGTTATGGCAGAAATGTATTTCTCTCACCCTGACATATGTATTCACACTTATACTGGTACAAAATATCCTTGTCCTACTCTATGGTGGAGACAAGGTGATTCCCTTATCATAACAATTATATGATGTCAATCAACAGTGCATTCACCTCATTTCAACAAGGTACTGACCCCATAATGTCAACATTGTATTATATATGAGACAGCGTGATAACAGGAAAGGATCATTCGTCTTTTTGGGTGAGATGAGGGATCTCAACCATCAGGCAAAGATTCTTAAGTTGCAAAAACTCAGCAAGCCTTGGGTTGCAACTTAAAAATTATTCACCCTTGGGTTGAGATCTCCCTATCTCACCCCTAAGGGGGTGACGGATCGATGAATCAAAAATGGGTGTGATCACGAAACTTTATCATCATGACCTCACAAACTTTATGACATCAAAATTGTTGAAAGCTTGTCAATGCTGTTTGAATGACAAAGGTGATTTTGCCATCAGCAACTGATACCCAACTCACAGAGATAATATGTATGTAATCAGAAATTTACTATTGCTCTTGTGTTGTCTGTGGTGTATTTTACCAAAATTTGGGTTAACTGGCTAGAGAAAAAGAGTCATCAGTTATTTATTTATGGAGGATGTGCAAGTTCTATCCTCAAGTGTAGAATCTGATGATCAGAACCTCCGAAAGCCTTGGTTCCAATTCTGGATTCTATATCCTTAGGTAAAAAAAAACATATCTTCAAAAGATATATATGACAAACTTTATTAATAATGAATACACCCAGGACTTAAATCAGCACAAAACTCTTCTATAATTATCCCCCTTTGGTAACATTACCATGGGACTAAGATTTTTGAAGGTACAAAATGTGCTCATTCACAGGTATGGTCTCTGTTTCTGCAAATAGGATAACTACAGGTAGGATTAAATCACAAGTGGTTGTAACTACAGGTAGGATTAAATCATAAGTGGTTGTAACTACAGGTAGGATTAAATCACAAGTGGAAGTTAAACAAATATTGAAATAAACGCAACATATGACCAATAAGCTAACAATGGGAAAGTTTGACCGGTAAACAGAAAGGAATATTAAGTTGAACCCACAAAAGAAAAGAAAAATTAAGTTTTACCAAACAAAAGAAAAGAATTATTAAGTTTTACCCAACAAAACAAAAAAGTATTACAAACAAAAGAATTATTAAGTTTTACCTAACAAAAGATAAGATTCATACTTTCTTTGTTTTGTTGGATAAAACTTACCTAATACTTCTTCTGTTTTGTTGGGTAAAACTAAATAATTCTTTTCGTTTGAAGGTTTAGACCAGAAAAGGAAATCATTATAGGATCTAATCCCGCACCTTAAAACAGTGTAAAGTACATGGTAGGTTCAAACTTACCGCAATGTGGTCTGCATGTAAATGAGAAATAAAAATGCACTTGATTTTTCTCAGCATTTCATTTGTCTTGCTACCGAAGTGGAGGCACATTTGAATGTAGGTGCCTTCTCCACAGTCCAGCAGAATGGCAGTGTCTGGGCTGAAATTATACTCAAACTTTACAAACAATAGCAACACATTCGAGCAGAACGGCAGTGTCTGGGCGGAAATTATACTCAAACTTCACATACAAAAGCAACACATTCCAGCAGAACGGCAGTGTCTGGGCTGAAATTATACTCAAATTTTACATATAAAAGTAGAAGATTCCAGCAGAATGGCAGTGTCTGGGCTGAAATTATACTCAAATTTTACACACAAAAGCAACACACTCCAGCAGAACGGCAATGTCTGGACTGAATTTTTTATCAATTTTACATACTAAAGTATCATTATTCATAAATACCATTTATGAACCGTATACTGCTATTGATAGTAAACATGCGTACAACCACAAATGCAGTTTCTTGATATGTTTACTGTAAATTAAGTACAATTTGAAACACCTCATTTTCTGTCAACACTTTTCTTTCATACTGGTCAGTTAATTTACATAAATAGCCAACTTTGTTTGTAAACATTATGATCAGCCTATGTAAGATAACAGTAGCAAGCATGGTTATCATACAAGGGCAAAGCTTATCTTACATGGCGGACATGAGAGAAAAAGACGCCTTTTTTCCTGGACCCATTTTCCTGGAGGGAGACTAATAAAATCTTTCATCCCCTTGTGGGTGGGATAGGGGGATCTCAACCTGAGGGGGGAAGATTCTTAATTTGCCAAACACGAGGCTTTGCAGAGTGTTTGGCAACTTAAGAATCTTACCCCCCAGGGTTGAGATCCCCCTATCTCATCCCCGAGGGGGTTAATGATTATTTTTCTCTTACCCTGTTGTTCCTGTCCAAGTGTAAGACGAAGCATATTGTTTGTAAACAGGAACATGTGGATAGCGTATTAATATTATATGTATACGTCAGACGGTTCTTGCATCATATTTTAAACATTTTAAAATCAATCCAATCTTCTTTGATGTCAAATGTAAACACGACAAGATTAGCAGACGAACTTGTGTATGTGTGTGACCACATAAAAGTAGTCCTTGTTCCGGGTCACATCAGTGATGTAAGGTTTATTGTGGAGAATGTGCAAAGAGTATGTGTAGCTTGTCTCAACCCTAGGGTGAGACAAGGAAATCTCACACCGGTAAAAGTAAGGATAAGTCTGTCCAGGGTAAGAGAAATCCTTTTCTCTTAACTTGGACAGGTGAAGCCACGATTTTACTGATGAGAGATATCCTTTTCTCTTAACCTGGACAGGTGTAGCCATGATTTTATTTATGAGAGATATCCTTTTCTCTCAACCTGGACAGGTGTAGCCACAATTTTACTGATGAGAGATATAATTTTCTCTTAATCTGGACAGGTGTAGCCACGATTTTACTTATGAGAGATATCCTTTTCTCTTAACCTGGACAGGTGTAGCCACGATTTTACTGATGAGAGATATCCTTTTCTCTTAACCTGGACAGGTGTAGCCACGATTTTACCGGTGTGAGATTTCCTTGTCTCACCCTAAGGTTGAGACGGGGGGATTCATAACAATGGAATTATGTCACTTCAACAATACAATCACATCACGTCAACAAACCATCAATGTCATGTCAACCCTGAATTGAGAATGTAACATTATCATAACATTGTGTATATGATACACAATGGGAGAACAAGTTTAGAGAAAAAGAATCATTCATCCCCTTGTGGGTGAGATAGGGGAATCTCAACCCTCGGGGAAAGATTCTTAAGTTGCCAAACACTCGGCAAAGCCTTGAAAGCCTTGTGTTTGGCAACTTAAGAACCTCCCTAATCTCGTCCACAAGGAGTGAAAGAATAACCATGTATATATGTAGAAGTGGGAAAGAAAATATCAGTGTGGTAACTTACTCTATCTGAAGATATATTCCGGTTACATTCCTCAACATGGCAGGTTTTGTGGCTGCAGTCCCTAGGAACAATATTACTGGGTATACCACTGCAAATCAATGTCAAACACACCAATTATATTCACTTTTTTTTGTGCCACTCAAAAATATAACCCAATCAGAGGGTCAGAGTTATATTTCTATAAATGATCGACAAACGGCCAGACAGATGGTCATCATACAGAGGGTATGACTGTTTATCAGTATATAAATATATCTCCAAATGATAGAACTGAAATTTTAGCACTTATTAGTGTGAAGGTCACACTGATAAAATGTTTGTACACTGCAAACCTTCTGTGGCTGGCAGCAGCCCTTGATGTAGCTTGTGTTTACAGAGGTAATTAGTGTTTATTCAGGACTCTTTCTTCTGATTTCCAGATCAGATGTCAACATATTTTGTTAGGATGTCGATATCAATAACTGACAAGATGGTTTTACATCTGAGCACAAACACAATGTAAATCCAAGTTTCAGACTTGCTGGATAATTATCTTGGATTTATCATCGGAGCAAGCAAATTGGCAAGTCAACATATTCTTCTGTTATGTTGACATCTTCCTCTGCGATATTGACATCTTCTCATATGTCAACATAATTTAGAGATTATATCAACATCATTTAGAGATTATGCCAACATAATTTAGAGATTATGCCAACATCATTTAGAGAGTATGTCAACATCATTTAGAGAGTATGTCAACATAATTTAGAGAGTATGTCAACATAATTTAGAGAGTATGTCAACATCATTTAGAGATTATGTCAACATCATTTAGAGATTAAGTCAACATCATTAAGTCATAAGTCAGCAACTCAAAGGCAGAAATATGCCACCATACACAGCAGGTTATCTTTATTTATTTTGTTTTATTCCAATACATTTTGATTAACATCAATTATTGTTATCAATAATAATATCATATCAATATTTTAATAACAGAAGTATCTAACCTTTCACCCCTGTTTAATAATTAAAAAAATTGATTTAATCAAAAGTGTATATACATTTATTCAGCTAACTTCTTTGGAATTCAAGCACTGGCATTTACTCTGAATCAATAGCATCTTCCAAACAACAACTCAATCATCGCTTTAATGAGTAATTTATTCTACGTTTGAATCTCCTCATATTGTACTTTGTGCAGTTTGAAATTTTCCCTACAGTACCCTCTTACATGTGAGCTTTTATTAAAACGGTTTCTTTTTATTCAAGTCCAACTGTTAACACAAATATCTCATTAGATTTATATAACAATATACTTCTAATACTTGCCCGAGATGTATTGTGTAAATTTAAAGCAACACACGTGTTGTCCGTCGATAGTGTAGTAGTACATGTTTACTTCTCACTGAAAGGCCCAGATATTTATCACTGGCTTTCTTAAAAGAAAAACTGACCACACTGGACGTTGGCTTCAGGTCATGTCATTATGACGTAAAGTTTGGTTAGGAGGTATAAATGTTCAGTATCTCATTGATTTGAAGGGGTGTCATTTGTCTACCGTAAATAGTCCCTTTAACAGATTATTGCATTGGTGAATTAGGCACACTCACCAAGTATACAATTCGTTGAATACCACATATTCATTCTAATCTGGACTGAACGTATCTATGTTTACGATACCCTAAAGAGGTTTCATTTTACCTTTATCTCGATTTTGCTTTTGCACAAACTCCTGGACTGATTGAAGATATTTTTCATCTTTTTTCTTTAAATTCTTCATTCCTTTCTTGAAAGATCTTTGTGGGTTCCTGAAAATGAAATGACTTTCAGTTAAGTAGTTGCTTTGGGTATCATAACACGTGCCTGGAATATATGTATATGATTACTTTCTCTTTGACAAGTCTGATATAAAGCTACCATAACACTATGGAGGAGCACCTGTTTTTGCTTCTGATGTTTCACTTTGTGATGTTATCAATAGAATATTGTAAATTAATAATTGTTCAACTGAATTCATACACATTCAAATTCTGAAAAGGATCCAAAAATGTAATTAAGTGATATTCTCTCCATTTTTTTGACAGCTTTAATATCTAAATTTAACTTCTCATAGGGACAAATTTTGGTTTGTTCAACTTGATTTTCTTGTATCCCATGTGAAATCTGTATAATCCTTAAACCTACATGTACAAATTGAACTACAGTAAAACCTTGTTATATCCCCACCTTCTGTCCTCTGTGATTTTGGCGGTATAACAAGTTTGGCGGTATATCAGGTTTACAGTTTTAAACCCAAATGTTCACACACCAACTGAACTTATACTTTAGGAAAAGAAAAAAGAAAAAAAAATCATAATACGTCTTTTTCTTTAAAATTGTAATTTAATGTATCGAATTGTTGAGCGTGCAAAACATACAGCTGATTACCTGGTCAGTTGGCAGTCACGTGTAACAATACAATGAACACACGTACGTAACATTCCTGTCATCAGCATATACCTGTACTTGACTCAAATTGGCAGTATTTAACGAGGTCGAAATAGCGTGATTTTAACAATTTGTTTTGGGAATATGATGGCGGATGGCTGTATGCGGGTTTGGCGTTACAAAGGGTGCATTAACGGTGGGGAAATACGTTCTGAGTAAACTAATGGTGGTATGCAGGTTTGGTGGTTTAACGAGGTGGCATTACAACAGGGTTTTACTGTACCTGGTAATGGGCTATTTTAGAATGTCTTGACCAAATACAGCATTTCAATTATCAGAATCAAAATCCAGTAGTAGCCAGAATTGGCCCAGATATTGCGACTGTGTGGGGGTCCGATCCGTGTGTACCATTGAGCTATGAAACATTACTTCCTCTTTTGTGAAGTCCTACAGATGGTTTAACAGTGTTGCACTTATTTATACAGATACCTGTGCAATTTTTGTGTATCAGGTATGTTGATCATTATAGCCATGTTGTCGGTCGGCATGTTTGGAATTTGTGGTCTGGACAAGGTTTGTACAGGTATTTCACAGTTCTAGGCTATTTAGGGCCTTTTAAGGGCCTTTTCAAATAAAATTCAGTTATAAAATCTCCTACCATTTGAAAGCTTTTAAAATACTATTTATAGTTTGTAGCATGGACACCAGGTAGTCATACAAACCTGTGTCTGCTGACCTAACAGCCATGTTGTCTGTTTAGAGTTTATAGCATGGACACCAGTTAGTCATACAACCCTTTGTCTGCTGACCTTACAGCCATGTTGTCTGTTTAGAGTTTATAGCATGGACATCATGTAGTCATACAAACCTGTGTCTGCTGACATTACAGCCATGTTGTCTGTTTAGAGTTTATATCATGGACACCAGTTATTCATACAACCCTTTGTCTGCTGGCCTTACAGCCATGTTGTCTTTTTAGAGTTTATAGCATGGACATCAGGTAGTCATCCAAACCTGTGTCTGCTGACATTACAGCCATGTTGTCTGTTTAGAGTTTATAGCATGGACATCATGTAGTCATACAAACCTGTGTGTGGTGACCGTACAAGCATGGTGTCTGTTTATAGTTTATAGCGTGGACATCAGGTAGTCATACAAACCTGTGTCTGCTGTCCTAACAGCCATGTTGTCTTTTTAGAGTTTATAGCATGGACATCAGGTAAACATACAAACCTATGTCTGCTGACATTACAGCCATGTTGTCTGTTTAGAGTTTATATCATGGACACCAGTTATTCATACAACCCTTTGTCTGCTGGCCTTACAGCCATGTTGTCTGTTTATACTTTATAGCATGGACACAAGGTAGTCATACAACCCTGTGCCTGCTGACCTTACAGCTATGTTGTCTGTTTATAGTTTATAGTATGGACATCAGGTAGTCATCCAAACCTGTGTCTGCTGACCTTACAGCCATGTTGTCTGTTTATAGTTTGTAGCATGGACATCAGTTATACCAACCTGAGTGTACTGGTCAGGCGTGGTACCATATTCTGAAATTGTAGAGAGTGTCCACATCTCACTGACAACATTTTCTGTGTATTCGTTTTACTTCTTAATACTTGATTTGAGTTGTCGTGGTGTTGATCTAAATTTGCATGGGAAGGAAATAATGGGAAAACTTTATTGTCCAATTCATGAAGAACTTTCTGTAAAACTCTGATGTGATTCTGAGATGGTTGTCCTTGTCTCTCATCAACGTGAATGTGTTCATTTGAGGCATGAGATCTGTAGAAGAAATGAAGACACATCATTACAGAGGTTTGAGTACTGCCTGCGGTATATACAAATTAGGTGTTCAAACAATGCAGACAGTTTAACTTACTTTTTGGGAAGTGTACCTTGCTACTTTACTGTAAAAAATACTTTTTGTCAACCATTGTTTTGACCAAGTTTAGAACCATCAGATCTACAGTGATATAATAAATTATTGGGAAAAAAGGGATGCACATACTGGGATGTATTACCACCCCTGACACACACACCTCACATATTTATTGTGGTAGAGTGGTGTTTACATACCTATAATATACTATCCACGGATGATAAATAAATAATTTGTGAACCGCTTTGAGATGACCTACAAACTAGGTTGTGATAAAGCTGTATATAAGAACCTCAAATTATTATTATTATCATTACATACTGTTTTGAAGTCTTTAAAGCTGTCTAATAAGTTCAGTATATATAATGTTATAGCTAGACCATGGGGCAAGTACATTATACATAAGGATCTCTACCCAAATAACTATGTTAGGTGTATGTCAGGGTATGGTACACGTACTAGTAGGATATCTAACAGTGTCTTTAGTAATTGTTAATTCCAAATATATTTCACGAATGTGGCTAATATTTTGATATCTCTCACAAGTGTGCAGCACACAAGTTAAATAGTCAAATTATTTAAAAAAAAGTCCTGTCTTGTCAGCTCAGATCACTACGCCATGTTGATAAGCACCAAATCTAATGGTGGGGAGTGGAAAAATTGCAGAGTTATTGTATCACCACTTATATCCTTAAGAGAAGCTATCAACACCAACTATGTAATTTACCACTGTCACTGTAAGAGATGACCCTGGTTCTTTTATACTTTCTAAAATTGATTACCCTTACTTGGGACTTGAAGATGCTGACACTATCACGGTTTCATTTGACATGAGTTCCCTTTTACAAAATACAGTAACACCCTGCTAACTCAAACTCGTGGGCCCAGATCAATAGGGACCACGGAACCAAATCAAAAATAGATTATGGGTTTTTCCCTTTTGGGCAGAAGATTTAATAGGATGGTGAATGCCTCGGGCCTGCTGGTTGGATATTTAGGTGGCAGAAGTTTCAAAAGTTGTATGTGTGGGTTGAGCAATATATATAGATGTAATATACCCGGTATGTATAAAAAAAATTAATAAAAATTCAAGTCTGCTTTTGCCTGGGTGAGTTCATTAAGTGTGTAATTTGTTGTAAATTTTGGTCGATTTTTGGTGCCACACACACAAGATGGCGGCCCCGTTATAAAAATAATTCAAACAGGCAGAATTTTTAAATATTTTTTCACAGTTGTGCGAGATGCTATTCTTCAAAATGAGGGCAGGTAAACCAGTGTGGATAACCCCATTTAACCAGGAGAGTGGTAAACGTTAACACTATCATCTATGGAAAATCATTTGGTTCTTCGGTCCCAATAAATAGTTCAAATACATGGTTTTCGACGAATCTGAGGTTCTTTCAACATTGTCATGGTTTGATCAGGTAGGACGACAGACAGTACGAGTACCGCAAATATCGCAGAATATACAATAGAAGGTTAATAAAGATGAAAACAAATAGCTGAACAATAAATACATGTATGGGGATTGCAGTCTGTGCCTCAAGGCATGTCAATGGCACGCGGCTATACACGCAGGTGTCTACCTGTTAGACGAATGGATAGGTTAAATAATAAGGTTTTGAGTGGTCGGGGATAAATCAGAGGTCAAGGAACACGGGTATTTAAGCGATGGCAGTACAAGTAATTTGAGGTTTATTTATGAAGAATATATATAAGAACACAGTCGGACAAAGCAAACTCTTTGAGGAATAGGGGGTATTGGAGTAAATGGGGTTTCAAGTAGTTAAAATTCCTGGCCTGCATAGTTTGCTGTTTTTCGTGAAAATGACAGTTTACTGTGGATTTAAACATTGTTTCCCCCAGCTTATAATTCCCCCCATGGTAGGTAACAGATGATTATTTTGGGCAGTAGAATCAGCTGATGTCTCAGACTGATTTTCTCAAGGCTTGCATATTGTTAAGCTAGCCGGGCTTTGAACACTCAGTGAAAAATCCCATTATGTTAGCCAAAATATAAATCAAAAGTACAGAAGATTTAATACTTCTATGTGCACCAATTAGTTAAACTGTATTTATTCCACTGTCGACTCTCCTGAAATTTATATACGATTACAGTAAGTAGTAGTTTTCAGGTACACCTACTCTGTTAATATCATGTTTTCTCATAAAATTAATAGGGAAAGTAAGATCCCAAGGACAGGGCCAGTCCAGGCAACTCTTAGTAGAATATCAAAATCTTCATGCTTGGAAATTTTATATTTTGTTATGGGGTGTGTATCTCAACTGTTTCTAAAGTTGTAACCCAGAAACTATATCTCTAAGGGTGTGGACAACCCACAGGGTTAAGTCTAACTAATGTCATCATTGTGTTTGTCTCTTTATCATTTATGCCTTGCAATTGCATATATGGTTATACAGTGGGGATCTTAATCATTTCTCAAGTAAAATCTCTTTTGAGCCCTACTCATCAGCCCTTGGGTTTAGCCATTCAACTGGTGCAATTTCAAATCCCAACTCTTAGTTCCAGAAAAAAAGTTACTTAAAGCAATATGGCTCAATTGTCTTTCTTGGCCCAGCCCCTCAGCTCCTCTCTATTTGTACAACTTTGAATCAGCTTCTCTCTATTTGTACATTTTGAATGACAGCAACCTGAGAAAATATGGTTGATATATATCTTTTAGTTCCAGAGAAGAAGTTGCATAAATCAATATGGCCAAATTGTCCCTTTTGGTCCTGCCCTTTAGCCCTCAATTTTGAATCCCTACCATCTAGGTATGCTTCAAGTCAAGATTTGTAAAATTCCATCAACAGTTAACAAGAGTACCGCGGGGCAGAACAATATATGCCTGTCCAATGCCATATAGTGTTATTGTTACTGAAATGAACAAAGGGCAATAACTTTTGCAAAAATCGTTGAATCAAAATCTTTTAAGGGTGACACAACTTCATATCATGATTATAATGTATACCAAGTTTTAAAGAAATTTGTTGAAAAATGTAGGAGGAGATTGCCGGACAAAAAACAAATACTGAAATAAACAAAGGGCAATTACTTTTGCAAAAATTGTTGAATCAAAATTCTTTTCAAGGAAACACAACAACATATCATGATTATTTAGCCTAAGTTTCAAAATAATAAAATAACTTTTGGAAAAAATTGTTGAATCAAAATCCTTATAAGGGAGACACAACTTCATATCATGATTATAACGTATACCAAGTTTCAAAGAGATCGGTTGAAAAATGTAGGAGGAGATTGCTGGACAAACAAAAGATTACGCCAGCCGGCCAACCCCGTACCATAATACTCCCGTCAAAATTTGACGGGCATATAAAAAGTTGTTTGAAGAAAATTGTTGACAGATGGATGATGGATGGAACGGCACAACATTAGCTCACCTTGGTACTTCGGACCGGGGAATCTAAAAAACAGAACCATTTCAAAATTCTTTACCTGTTGATTAATGTTTTGTAGCTAGGATCTTCCACTACACTGACAGGGGAAAGGTGGAATATATATGCTCCAGGTTCATTTAGGTGTTTCTGTAGATCTTCAGATTCCAACAGACTTTTTAGGTATCTTTTATCTGGACACTCCAGTACTAGAACAGCAAAAACATATTTTGGTGATGGAACCAAATATATATAAATTATAAAATATGCAAATGTATTCATACCTGGATTATGTGCAAACTAAGCAAATCCCATACATGTACAAATGTATTGTAACATAGAGTAGTGAATGTAGTGTATCTTTGGTAACTTCATTTTGCAAATCCCTTTGTTACCTCATCCTACAAACGAAGTCATTTATGGTACATCATACTACACAAATCCCAAGGGATGAAGTCAGATCCTGGGACCAATTTTTAACATTCCCATGTGTTGACCTAGGAAGTAAGTACCAAGAGGCAAGGCCACACCAAGAGATCAATGCAAGTAGCAAGATGGTTTCTGTCTTTTCAATTGTACACATGGTCATATGGTGAGTTTTCACCTGTTTCCATCTTACGACCAAGAGAGTAAATCCTAGGGTTAGGGCATGGAGATCTGAACTGTTTCCATGTTGTGGCTCAGGGACTAAGTTCCTGGCACAGGACAAGACCCTGGGACAAAACCTGTTAGTTTAGGTGTAGCAATCTCTTTATGCTCATTATGTTTGTATGAAGTTATATGTTTGGAATCTTAACCATTATTAAGAACTACGACTTTACATCCAAAATTCTTCTACTGGGGCACCACAAGGCATCACTTCTTCATTTATACAAAATATGATCAGCGTGTCCTGGTAAAATTTCAAACCAAATATGTTTAAACCTGTGCAGTTGTTCAGATGGAGTCGGATTGCCTTCATCATCATAACACTATTACTAATACATCATCATTTATCATTACACCATCCTCTAATCATCACTACATATTCACAATTCAAAATCATTGTCATCATCATTTATCATTACACCATCCTCCAAACATCACTACATATTCACAATTCAAAATCATTGTCATCATCATCTTATCATTGTTTTCATTATCGTCATTGATTCAAATTCATCGTCGTCATGATCATCAGGGATGCATATACTTTATATATACAGCATATGATTGCCTTGCCATAGTTATTGTACCACCAAATAGGGTAACTATCGATAGTTGTTTATAGAGAGTAGGGTTTTGATTATAATTGTCTAATTTTGTCCTTTATTTGGCCCACTTTAAGACACATCCCTCTGGCCCCTGGGGTTATACGAAATCAATTATCTTGCCCCAGTTATGTTTCAGACAAAAATGGTACCAGTTCATGTAGTCTATCAGAAGATGAGTAGGGGGAAGGGCGATGGGGGTTCTTGGATTTACAACATTTACACACCCCTTTCTTGATATTATAATTTTCCCCCAATCTGATTAAAATCAGGCGGAGCCTTGTAACAGATGATTTTAATCAGATTGAATTTTCCCCTAGTGTGCACTTTTTGTAATATTTGCATTTTGTGTACTGCAAAGACTGAAGGTCACATGATACTATTCACCAGAAGAAACTCACAGGGACACATAAATGGAAAATGAACCAACAATGATGCAAGTTAGAGTTGACACTGGTCAACTTCCTCACAAAACATATTCTTGCAGAAATGTACTTACTCATAATAGTTGGCAGACTGTTACTTTCTTCTTCTAAAACCTGTAAAAGTTACAATCAACAGTAATTGGAGATGTTTCAGTAAAATGAATGTGATGAAAATGTCATGCCCGCTGATAATGATTTAAGAATTATTATCCATATTTTAAAGTTTTTAAGACAACAATCAATATTAAGTAACAGTCTAAGCGAGCTTCTCAGTCAACATAAAGTACCAATCTAAAGATGCCAAGTAAATTTCTCAAACAATTATCAACAATGACTGCCAAGTAAACTTCTCAAACAATTATCAACAATGACTGCCAAGTAAACTTCTCAAACAATTATCAACACATAGAAACAGCCAAATACTGTCAAGCAAGCTACTCAGATAACGGTAAACATCTAGTGGTTTAAGACTGCCAAGCGATCTTCTCAAACAACAGTCAAGACTTTGTAACAGTTAAAGACTGCCCATTAAGGTCCTCAAAAACAGTCAACATTTAATTATTAATAACTAGACACATTGTAATAAAATATGTTCATGAACAATTATAACCTGTTATTTTGAATTGTCATAACATTACAATAAAAGTAGTAAAAAATCATATAAAAAAGGAGGCTATGTGACCTTTTATCCTCCCAATCAGTCAGACCAGATATTCATATAGAGCTTGTATGCTGTGCAAGAGTGGTAATTCATTTCCACAAGCATTGTTATTTTAAAATCTCCTTCCACCTTGACTTTTGACCGCTCTACTTTACCAGACTCAAAATTACATATGGGTCAACTATGTGTAAGTTTTGTTCTTTTAGTTTTTAAGAAAGTTTGTCCACTAGATTTGAGAGAGACTGACAGACAAACAGCTGGAATCCTAGACAGGCAGGCAATAGATAGAACTGACCTTTAGTATGTACACTATAGATGACAATTTCTGCTTCAGCGCTGGTTGCACTCCTTCAATCTTCCAGTCTATAAATAAGTCACATTGTGTCTGTTACATCTTAAAAACAATATTGCAACAAAGTCCAAAGTAATGAGAACACAACGACTGTAGACTTTGAATCAGAGTTTCAGGAGTATTCGTCTTCTTTATCAAACATTGCAGTTTTATTTTATGTTCTGGATTCATACAGACTTCAAAACTAATAAGCATCCTCTTAATATAACTGGTCGTCATAAATGGCCAATGTTCACTACAGCGGTAGACAGTCATAGAGACAACTACGTCAAATAGTTAAGCATACCTACTTTGTGTTTGCTCTGCGACATGGGCAGGATAATATTTCAAATCTTCGACAGACAGTTCAGGGAAAAATGGAATGTATTTTATCTGCACATATTCATCTTCATGGAACATATCCCTTGTTGCATTTACCAAACCTGTTCAAAAATCAATGTAATACGAAAATACTGTATAACTAATACATTCACTGGTCTTTAGTTTTCACAACTTTAACTCAACATGGTCAATCAATAAAATGTTGGAATTGAACATTCAAACATATATAAAGATCTTGTTGGTATCTTGGTGAACGACAATAATCAATATCATGGGTCGGTAAATATTTATTTACAGTAGTAAACCACAAGTGAAATATAAATAATTTTTCATGAAGAAACCAATGAACAGCTTTTCTTCATTACAATATGATATTACATTTTTACCAAGAAATACTGTAAACTGGGAAATTTTTGCAGTCAAACTTTAACCCTTAGCCACTTAAATTCTAATTTGCAAAGTTCTAATTTCAACCTTCACATTAAATTATTATGCATATTATGTTGTTTACTAAATTTACTGTAAAGATAAATTCCCCCTCATTACAAAGTGTCAAAAAGGCTAAAATTAAACTGCAGTGAAAATTTCCCGGTATACAGCACCAAGTTTTACATTGTAAACAAAGTATTTTTTCCCATTGTGCCAAACAATACTTTTTGTTATTTTCACACTTAACTTACAGCTACAAGTTATATTGCAATAAGATACAAATTGTCCCAGCCTCATCAAGTAAAAGATATAAGCTGTATCAAGTTATAAATGTCAACCTCCTCAAGGTAAAGGTGTCAGCCTCATCAAGTAAAAGATATAAGCTGTGTCAAGTTATAAATGTCAACCTCCTCAAAGTAAGATAACCTCATCAAGTAAAAGATATAAGCTGAATCAAGTTATAAATGTCAACCTCCTCAAAGTAAAGATTTCAACCTCGTCAAGTAAAAGATATAAGCTGAATCAAGTTATAAATGTCAACCTCCTCAAAGTAAAGATGTCAGCCTCATCAAGTAAAAGATATAAGCTGTATCAAGTTATAAATGACAACCTCCTCAAAGTAAAGATAACCTCATCAAGTAAAAGATATAAGCTGTATCAAGTTATAAATGTCAACCTCATCAAGGTAAAGATGTCAGCCTCATCAAGTAAAAGATATAAGCGGTATCAAGTTATATATGTCAACCTCCTCAAGGTAAAGATGTCAACCTCATAAAGTAAAAGATATAAGCTGTATCAAGCTATATATGCCAACCTCCTCAAGGTAAAGATGTCAACCTCATAAAGTAAAAGATATAAGCTGTATCAAGTTATATATGTCAACCTCAAGGTAAAGATGTCAGCCTCATCAAGTAAAAGATATAAGCGGTATCAAGTTATATATGTCAACCTCAAGGTAAAGATGTCAGCCTCATCAAGTAAAAGATATAAGCTGAATCAAGTTATAAATGTCAACCTCCTCAAGGTAAAGACGTCAGCCTCATCAAGTAAAAGATATAAGCTGAATCAAGTTATAAATGTCAACCTCCTCAAAGTAAAGATGTCAACCTCGTCAAGTAAAAGATATAAGCTGTATCAAGCTATATATGCCAACCTCCTCAAGGTAACGATGTCAGCCTCCTCAAGTTATAAATATCAGCTCCATCAAGTTATAGGATGTAAAAACTCTGAGGTAAAGATGTCATCCTCATCAAGTAAAAGCTATCAGCTGCATCAAGTTATATAATGTCAACCTCATCAAGTAAAAGATATAAGCTGCATCAGGTTATATAAGACAACCTCATCAAGTAAAAGATATAAGCTGAATCAAGTTATATATGTCAACCTCCTCAAGGTAAAGATGTCAGACTCATCAAGTAAAAGATATAAGCTGCATCAGGTTATATAAGACAACCTCATCAAGTAAAAGATATAAGATGTATCAAGTTATATATGTCAACCTCCTCAAGGTAAAGATGTCAACCTCATAAAGTAAAAGATATAAGCTGTATCAAGTTATGTCAACCTCCTCAAGGTAAAGATGTCAGCCTCATCAAGTAAAAGATATAAGCTGTATCAAGTTATATATGCCAACCTCCTCAAGGTAAAGATGTCAGCCTCCTCAAGTTATAAATATCAGCTGCATCAAGTTATAGGATGTAAAAACTCTGAGGTAAAGATGTCAGCCTCATCAAGTAAAAGCTATCAGCTGCATCAAGTTATAGAATGTCAACCTCATCAAGTAAAAGATATAAGCTGCATCAGGTTATATATGACAACCTCATCAAGTAAAAGATATAAGCTGCATCAAGTTAAAGAATGTAAAAACTCCTCAAGGTAAATATATCAACCTCCTCAAGGTAAAGATGTCAACCTCCTCATGGTAAAGATGTCAACCTCCTCATGGTAAAGATGTCAGCCTCATCCAGTTAAAGATAAAAGCTATATCAAGTAAGCCTCATTAAGGTGAAAATGTAAGCCTATTGAAGTTATAGATGTTAGCCTTATGAAGCTATAGATATCAGCCTAATCAATTATAGATGTCATTCTCATCAATTATAGGTGTCAGTCTCATCAAGCTATGGATGTCAGTCTCATCAATTATAGGTGTCAGTCTCATCAAGTTATGGATGTCAGTCTCATCAATTATAGGTATCAGTCTCATCAAGTTATACATGTCAGTCTCATCAAGTTATAGATTTCAGTCTCATCAATTATGGATATAAGCCTAATCAATTATAGATGTCAGTCTCACCAATTATAGATGTCAGTCTCATCAGGTTATGAATGTCAGTCTCATCATTTATAGATATCAGTCTCATCAATTATAGATGTCAGTCTCGCCAATTATAGATGTCAGTCTCATCAATTATAGATCACAGTCTCATCAATTATAGATATCAGTATCACCAATTATAGGTGTCAGTCTCATCAAGTTATGGATGTCAGTCTCATCAATTATAGGTGTCAGTCTCATCAAGTTATACATGTCAGTCTCATCAAGTTATAGATGTCAGTCTCATCAATTATGGATATCAGTTTAATCAATTATAGATGTCAGTCTCATCAATTATGGATATCAGTTTAATCAATTATAGATGTCAGTCTCATCAATTATAGATGTCAGTCTCATCAGGTTATGGATGTCAGTCTCATCAAGTTATAGATGTCAGTCTCATCAAGTTATAGATGTCGTCTCATCAATTATGGATATCAGTTTAATCAATTATAGATGTCAGTCTCATCAATTACAGATATCAGTCTCACCAATTATAGATGTCAGCCTCATCAATTACAGATATCAGCCTCACCAATTATAGATGTCAGTCTCATCAGGTTATGGATGTCAGTCTTATCAATTATAGGTATCATAGATGTCAGCCTCATCAATTATAGATGTCAGCCCAAAAAAAAAAGGGTATCATTCTCATCAGGTTATGTATTACAGTCTCATCAATTATAGATATCAGCCTCATCAATTATAGATGTTAGTCTCATCAATTATAGATAACAGTCTCATCAGGTTATGGATGTCAGTCTTATCAATAGGTATCAGCCTCATCAATTATTGATGTCAGCCTCACCAATTATAGATGTCAGTCTCACCGATTAAAGATATCAGCCTCATCAATTATAGAGGTCAGTCTCATCAGGTTATGGATGTCAGTCTTATCAATAGGTATCAGCCTCATCAATTATTGATGTCAGCCTCACCAATTATAGATGTCAGTCTCACCGATTAAAGATATCAGCCTCATCAATTATAAATGTCAGCCTCATCAATTATAGATGTCAGTCTGATCAATTTTAGATGTCAGTCTCGCCAATTATAGATGTCAGTCTCATCAGGTTATGTATTACAGTCTCATCAATTATAGATATCAGCCTCATCAATTATGCATGTAAGCCTCATTAATTATAGATGTCAGTTTCATCAAGTGATAGATGTCAGCCTCATCAATTGATTAGTCTTGTAAAGATACCTAAGTTCCAAATATTATAGACCATAACACTTTAATTCTTGAGAAGATTTATTTTAAATTGAAATACATATTTTGTTTCATTTTCCTATATAATAGGATCTTACCTGGGAATTTATTTGAATCTACATTTCAAGACCACATTAGATACAAGTTTGGAAACATAATATAATTAGTATTTGTGGTATACTTACTGTAAACTGGGGCTGAACCAACATAAAAGCGATCCAACTGTCAAAAAAAAAAGGGTATCATAGAGGCAGAACAATATACGCCAACCCTGCAAAATGTATCATCCCCTCACTCACTGTATAACAAACGAGAGCACCATAGAGGCAGAACAATATACGCCAACCCCGCAAAATGTATCATCCCCTCAGTCACTGTATAACAAAAGAGAGTATCATAGAGGCAGAACAATATATACGCCCACCCTACACAATATATCATCTCCTTTCTCACTGTATAACAAATGAGAGTATCATAGAGGCAGAACAATATATACCCACCCCACACAATATATCATCCCCTCACTCACTGTATAACAAACCAGAGTATCATAGAGGCAGAACAATATATACGCCCACCCTACACAATATATCATCTCCTTACTCACTGTATAACAAACCAGAGTATCATAGAGGCAGAACAATATATACCCAACCCTACACAATATATCATCTCCTTACTCACTGTATAACAAACCAGAGTATCATAGGGGCAGAACAATATATACCCAACCCTACACAATATATCATCTCCTTACTCACTGTATAACAAACCAGAGTATCATAGCGGCAGAACAATATATACCCAACCCTACACAATATATCATCTCCTTACTCACTGTATAACAAACCAGAGTATCATAGCGGCAGAACAATATATACCCAACCCTACACAATATATCATCTCCTTACTCACTGTATAACAAACCAGAGTATCATAGCGGCAGAACAATATATACCCAACCCTACACAATATATCATCTCCTTACTCACTGTATAACAAACCAGAGTATCATAGCGGCAGAACAATATATACCCAACCCTACACAATATATCATCTCCTTACTCACTGTATAACAAACCAGAGTATCATAGCGGCAGAACAATATATACCCAACCCTACACAATATATCATCTCCTTACTCACTGTATAACAAACCAGAGTATCATAGCGGCAGAACAATATATACCCAACCCTACACAATATATCATCTCCTTACTCACTGTATAACAAACCAGAGTATCATAGCGGCAGAACAATATATACCCAACCCTACACAATATATCATCTCCTTACTCACTGTATAACAAACCAGAGTATCATAGCGGCAGAACAATATATACCCAACCCTACACAATATATCATCTCCTTACTCACTGTATAACAAACCAGAGTATCATAGAGGCAGAACAATATATACCCAACCCTACACAATATATCATCTCCTTACTCACTGTATAACAAACCAGAGTATCATAGAGGCAGAACAATATATACCCAACCCTACACAATATATCATCTCCTTACTCACTGTATAACAAACCAGAGTATCATAGAGGCAGAACAATATATACCCAACCCTACACAATATATCATCTCCTTACTCACTGTTTAATAAATACAGTGACAGGATTAGAATCCTTCTGAAGCTTTTTTTAACAACATTTATGAAAATATTGAAATGTTACAAGAAAAAATCTTTATGGTGTAAAACTCAGTAAAGTTGAATTATATCATATTGTACTTTTCTTCACAACAAGAAGGAATATATAATATGTTTTAGTTGTTTAGGAATTGCTTTCATTTGTCTACAATCAAATTCATCCTAAACCATTAAAAATGAAGAAACTTCAGACTCTTACAGCAAATCATTTCCAAATATTCTCGATAAAATCTTGAATACTCTGTTTGTCTAAATTTATTTTTTAAGATTAAAAACAGACCAGGTGGGCTAAACACGTAGTTTAACCTACACTTGAGACCTACAAGACTTACCATCGATTCTGGTCCATATAATCTCAAATCTTTACGAAACATTTCAGAAGTATCTTCATACCTGGTTCGTTCAGTAAATAGCCCTACATATAAATAGGAAAAATAATGAAGGAATGTTGTATACTTTAATTCATTAATACGATTTATAAAGCTAGTGAAGATACATCTTGATGAAATTATGTAAACAGTGTAAACTGTTGTTATTTTCAGACAATTTGGTGCTAGTGTCAGTTATTTTTTACACAATATCAGTGGTTTTTAGGGTGACTTTGGGCCCTTTATCAGGTCCTATCCCTAGCTAACTTATGATGTTTTTCCCAATATCATTGCAAAAATTCTTTAATTTTTCCAAAATCATGCTTTTTGTGTGATGTTTCCAGTCACAAAGTATAATCAGTCCAGAAATGGACAGCTTGAAATGTCATAAGAATTCCATGAAATGGATGTGTCACCCGCCCCCTGTTGTCAGCCATGTTGTTTTTCGGATTTGGTTCAAAATCAGTCTGAGCATGTAATTTATACTATAGGTATGCATAGAAAGTTTTATGAAAATCAAAGCATTCCTTCAAGAGTTACTGCACAGACTCAACTGTTGCTTACAGAGTGAGCCTTTATGTCAACTTTGCTTCCCATGCACTTATTTTGTAGATTTTTTAAAGTTAATTCCCGAACATCCTTTTTTATTTCTTATTTTGATGATTCCTATTACTAAGAGATATATAGTGGGTCCTCAAAAAATTAGTGAGTCCCACAGACTTCGTATTCATGAAACAGTTCTAATGCTCAAGCCTAACTTATTTCAGTTATAAATAAATTAAAGGGGGGGATCAAAGATTTGGAAAAAAAAATGATGAGACTTATAGTTGAATACTGTTTTCAATGTTTACATTTGATTTTTTTATTGTTTTACATGATTCAAGTGAGTTACATGAAAGCTGGTTTGAGCACAAAATCCATGCTCGAGCATGAGAAGGTTTCATGGTCCCGTATTCATGAAACCGTTCTCATGCTGAAGCAGGATTTTGTGCTCAGGCCTAATTTTTGTTCTTGTTGTAACTTAACAAATAAATCTGATTTTGTCAATAATTTGGAAACATTTTGAACAGACTTTAAGCCAAATACTATTTTCAATGTTAACATTTGACTTTTTGATTGTTTGACATGATCAAAGCAAGTAACAAAATAGTTGGTTTGAGTACAGAATACATGCTTGAGCATGAGAATGGTTTCGTGAATACGGACCCAGGACTCAAATATCTGGAATCCCAAAAGTCAGTACTAGGTGACCTAATAAGTACATACCTTTCAACCCTCCTAAATTTTCCCAGTTTGAGACTGTAACAAAAATGTCTTCAACAGTGTTCCTCTTATACCTGAAACAAGCAATAACACATGTGAACAAAACATTAAATATTTGTTTCTTCAATAAATATAGAAAAAAGATATTTTTTAAATATTTGAAAATACAAAACCATTGAATGATAAAGGAGACCCTTCAACGTTGTTTTTTCTTTCTTTTCTTTATCAATTTCACAGAAAGACCCCATTCCATGTCTAGTCAAAAATGTACGGTGACACTCTGGTCAGAAGCTACTTCGGTTCTTCCTCATGCAATTCATTAAAAGCTCCTTAGGGACATCATAAAACAGAGGAACTCTGGGAAAATTTTGCACACACTAGGATATAGGACTGCTTGTAAGAGGTATTAACAACTTGATAATTAAGGCTTTTATATGTTGGTAATTTAAGGGAAATCAAAAAGAGAAGTCTTTCAAGAAGTCACTGTATTGCTTACATGTGTTTTAAAAACATGGTGAAGGTTTATGTTATAGCCACCAACACAGAAACCAATGGAAACAATCTGATCTGAACTGAATGATAAAAGGAATGTTTGTAAACTGTTAAAGTGGCGATTTACAGTGAGGGTATGCTCACGTCAACTAGCATGGAAAAGGAAAAATCCACACACCATTATACACATATAAAGACAAAATTAATACAATATATATGACAGGTATTATATATTTTGATTTCAGAACAATTGAAAACGGAAATTTTCCACACCCCGATCAGTTTGAAGAGCCAAAACTTTTACAGTACTCTATAAAGTAGTACAACACACTATAACGAATGAAATGGTGTTTACACCCTATAAGGCAGTACCTGTGAGGTACTGACTGATTTAAAACTGTAATCTGGCTGGGTCCATATTGTACCTTATATCAAAGACAGAACAGGCAGTTACTGGGCACAGAGTCTGGATATCTTGTGTATCATAGAATTATATATCTTTATATGCAATAATGATCTTCCCCAGGGTTTGTTCACAAATTTCATTATGAATCGCCATCATCTGAGGATGTTTCCAACCAAATCTAGTTGAAATCCAGATTTCTAGCTCCAGAGAAGATGTAGCTTCAAGCAATATGGCAAAATTACGGTATCCTTTTCTGGCAGGACTTGTGGGACTTTCATAAAATATAATAAGGATGAAAGCAAGAAAACTATGATCAACAAGTGTTTTGAGAGCAAAACTTTAGTGGGGCTAGACCAGGATTCGAACCCTAGACAAAGATTGTAATACTGCTCTAACCAATTAATTATTGAGCTACCTCTTCATGGAAAATTATCCTGGCCCAACTGTTAGGGGAGGTTACTGTAGTTACTGTAAGGAATACACATTGAAGTGGGACAGGGATCCTTTTCGCAGTATGCCAAAATATGCATTTTGGCCAAACCCCCACAACCCCCGCAGCCCTCGGGAAGGTCAGCCCCTCCATTTGTACAATTTTTGTATCCCCACCTGAGGATGCTTCCAGTTAAATCTGATGAAATTGTAATCAGTGGTTCATCAGAAGCCATCCATTGATGAAATTGTTGACCGATGGAGGACGACGGATACCACAGTGCATCAAAGCTCACATTGGTCCTTCTGACAAAAGAGCCAATTATTGTTCCTATGTTTCTTTTAATTCTATCTCCATCAATATCTGATTCTGTAATAGCTTTCTGCTTCACACAAGCTTTAGTTATATCTTGATCTATCCCAGCTTTACATATCGTTTACTTACATATTCATGGTGAACGATCTTTTAGTTCCTTCTCCACAGTTGAAAAGGTAACTGTAAAAGAAGGAAATTACAACATTTAAACTCTATTTGTGTAGTAATTGTTTACATATATACTACTAACATTTTGCTAAGGATCACCTATATTTTGAAAAAGAAATCAAAATGTTTGAAAGAATATTATATTTTCCTTCTGTACTGTTTTGGGCGAATATATTAGCCTTCCAAATCGTCCTGTGGGTGTGTTCAGTCAACCATGAAAGTGTGTGCACGCTTTTCCACGTGCAGGTTGTTGCCATAGATCTTTGCCCTACATGGGATGAAACGAGACGACGTACGAGAGAACGGTTTTGGATCACCAATCTACAAACCTGCTACCCTCAAGGTATGAACGAACCATAGGCGGTTGCCATCCGCTCGTTTTCCTTCCAGGGGGCATTTGACCTAATGGTGCATTACTGCACAGTTGGTCTGCTACTGCATGTTAGTGTGTGTGACCAACAGCCGTTGTCAGATTAATTTTGCAGATTTATACAGTATCTTAGCCATTTCATCTACTTATTCCTCCTGCACTCACTTATTTGATAATTACATGCATTGTTCCTGCAAACCGAAAGAGGCGACTAAGTGTGGACCCCCTGCTGTGACTGTTAAATCCACTGCAGAATTGAGAGGCGACTAATGAGGGCATTCCGTAGGAAATTGAGATTTTTCACATTTACCGGGCCAGATTCCCACATGTACATGTTCCACGTTTTTTATATCTCGTCCCTTCTTTCTGGTGCTTATCTCTCGTTGACTCACTTTATGTGATAGTGCATCTTGCGCAAGAATAGGCCATCTACATCACCGTTCCTTGTCCGTGATGCTCTCAGCTTAATTGCTGCCTTCAGCTGTCTTTAGCTGAGGGGACTATTGTATATCAGTTGTATCTTCTTGTAATATGATGTATGTTACTGTACGTTTAAACTGTTCTGTTTCACTGTGTCTTGATAAAGGAGCGGATCGCTCCAAAATTTGACAATCTAAACTTGTCCACACTGTTGGAATTACTTCTTTGCCCCATATACTATTAAGTAATTTGTATCCTACGGACATACCTCCATTAGGATCCAGTGTTATATGGGATTTTACCGTCTATATTACTTCTTTGACCCATATGAAACATACATGTTATATAGTATGAACGATGTTTCTCAATATCACTAAATCTTACAATATAACATTCAGCCCATCAGAGACATTCAAAGCCACTCTGTAGTATATACGTCTCCGAGTAAATGTCCGATTACAGGATCCCAATATTACCTTTAGAGAATAGACATGTTCTATAAAAATAATAAATGGAAAAGCTGTTAAGAATGTGTAACATACAAAACTGTTTTCAATGTTATTGCTTCCAAAAGTTAGATCTCTTTCGTTCTTTTTTTAAAGAATTTTTTCTGGTTGATATTATAGTACTTTAATTATTGACAGAATTTCGTTCTCCTGTGACTTTTTCAAATAAGATCACTCAGGAAGTTTCCACCTGTTAATAGGCTATCGAGTTCTACAAAAATATCAAAACCATTATTTAACTATTAAGCTTAGGCGTTAGGTAAATATTTCGAGCCGAAAAATGTAGCTTGCTGTCAACCTTTTGCCAACTGCGGGAGTGTAGAAGTAACCACTGTCATACTGTGTCGTCTGGTGCCGCTCCTCTTTGGTGTTTGTCACATTCACCAGGATCGACTTTGGAGTGCCAAATCCACCACTTGAGATAACATTAACAGCGACTTTCAATTTTGAATCAGAAAAATATCGGGCTCGTGTTGTTTGTTTTAGCCGCGATAATAACCGTCGACATCCAATATGAACGTGAAGAAGCATCACCATTCATAGAACCTTACACCTGTGTACACTGTAGCCTAACACTCACCGACATGATCATTACATGTAAACAAATGAGAACGCAGTGTATATAAGCGAACGGCGTGAACACTACATGTTACGTACATTGGTATCTACTAAATACGGGAAACTTTGACCGGAAGCAACATTATTGCTAAAAATGTACAAATGTGAAATCTAGCATGTTCTTATTAACACCCTTTTTACCTCTTTCAATTATTATTGTGTCCCGCTAGACAACATTTTCATTGATGTTTTTTTAGATATGTATATAGATATTGGCTTAACAGAGTTATCTATCTTGAAATAACTATTGATGACATACAAGATACAAGAATTTTTATTGTTGTAATGGAAACATTAGCTCTGTAGAGCTATTATCACAACAAACAAAGGTATAAAAACAGGATATATAAGACAACATGCAGATAACAACAGGCATATAGTAAGGTTTATACACACACAGACAAGAAAAAATTAAATCACGCAGGTGAGCTAAAAATTGACCGAATATATGCTAATATAGCATAAATTAAAAAGATGATTTGACAAGCATTGAGTAAGTCATACAATGCATATATAAGAGCACTAAGCAAAAACTGAAAGGAAGTAAAAGCATAGAAGCATGGTATCACAAGACATGGTAAAACTAAATATAGAAATGATAAAAAAGGTTGGAACAAACAAACAAGACTAGTTACATATGGCGCAGGAACACAACTGGCCGTCCCAAGTGTGCAGCAGTCTGAGAAAGCTCTGGAAACTTTCTACTTTCCTCAGTTCATTCGGCAAACTGTTCCACACTTGGGCAGCCTCAAAACGAAAAGACTTTTTTTCCCAATACCTTGCTGTGTTAACTCTTGGTACCTGAATGGTGTTCTCTTGCCTGAAATTATATTCAACATTATTTTTAACAATCAAATCATTTTAAAATTCTGGAGCTAACCTATTTAAAATTTTTAAAGACCTCTGTAGCCATAGTCTTCACTCTAACAACGTGTACAAATGTGAGGTTGTTTCTGCGTAAAATATCTATCACAGGTGAGGTAAAATCGTTTCCAATAAAATGCAGAGCTCTTTCCTGTATCTTTTCCATCTTTCGAGTGTTTCTGAGGCTACAAAACAGATTTAACAAGAGGCCCATGGGCCTAAATGGTCACCCAAGTCCTACAGTATTTATTTTTGTTGTTGAAATATGTACCGATTTGAGTAAAAAATTGTTAAGTATAATGTTAACTTAAGTTTGTCAGGACCATGAGCTGATCTTTCCTAGACCGATTTTCAGTTAGATCGGCCTATTAGAACTTGTTTCTAAGTTTGAAATAGGTATTTTCAAAATAGTGGCCATGGCAGCCAAATTGTATTTCTGATCGACCCGAAAAAATAACAAAACTTTGTCAGGACCATGAGTCGATCATTCCTACAAAGTTTCAGTTTAATCCGCCCATTAGAACTTGACTTTAAGTTTGAAAGAGTTTTTCAAAATGGCGGGCGTGGCGGCCATATTGGGTTTCTGATAGACCGAAAAATTAACAATACATGGTCAAGGAGATGTCAGTAACCTTCCCATGAAATATTAATGAAATCCCTTTGCCAGTATTTCAGCTTAAGCTGAAAATGTAAAATGTTAACGGACGACGCACGACGGATGAAGATGGATAGCAATAGGTCACTTGAGCTAAAGCTCAGGTGACCTAAAAATGGTGATCTTTCCCTTTTTGGTAAGATTATTTCCAATTCTTTTCAAAATAGCTAATTGTTTGGAGGCCTTTCTACAGATCTTATAGATACATGGTCATCAAATTAAAATAAAGAGTCAATTTCCACACCTAGCAGAGTATTTTTACAATCAATTACCTGGTCTCCAATAGAAAAGGATTTAATGTTGTCACAGGGTTTTTTCCCTATACATATGGCCTGAAATTTGCTAGGATTTGCTTACATATACCATTTGCTGAAAACCAGTTTAGTAAAAATTTACTTTTTCTAGAGTAAGTTTAAGGTTTGAAGAACAGTTGCTGACTTTTTCTTAATCTTAACAACAAGGTTTCTCTGATACCTATAAGCTTCCCAATTTTCTGCATTTTTGAAGTTATTGTATTTATTAAATAACATTTGCTTCCTGTAAATGGCTTTTCTAAGTACACTATTGAAAAAAGGGGGCTTATTTACCTTTGGTCTTCTCTCCTTAATTGGTAAATGTTCATCAATTACATCTTTAAGCATACATTCATGGGCCCAATAAACACCATCAACATCATCATAAGTAAAAGCTACGTGAAAAGGTACATTACTTAAATCATGATTAAAACTTGCTTTGTTAAAATTTCTGTAACTACAAAATTCACATTTGTCCTTGGGTAGCCTAGGGGCTGTTCCCTTAATTACTATGCCAATATAGTTATGCCAGTCGCTAATGCCACATCCAAAATTAACTGGGTGGAAGCAAACGGTAGGACGGTTAGTGAGGATTACATCAACTAAAGATGGATTGCAGTCTTTGACATAGCAGGTTGGTGATGTGATTTTATTTGAAAGATAAAAGAGATCACACAAAAAATGTGAAACATCAACGTTTAAATCACCCACAATCATTACATTGTCATACTTCGTGAAAATTTTGTCTTATACGATGGAAGCGTCATCCCTAAAAGAGTTGTCGTTCATGGAAGGGGCTTAATATGAACCTACGAGTGCCCATTTCCTTTTTTGTACAGAACACTCTATGACAATTGATTCCACCTCACCGAAGTCTAAACCATCTCGCCTCCTAGCAGGAAGGTGATCTCACGTACGCTAGGAGACCGCCGCGGCGAGCGTTTCTGCATGTCTTTCCTGAAGGCTTTAAAGCCAGGTACATTAAAACATGATCACAATACAACCTATTGTTTATGACGTCACAATTTCTGCCATTGTTAATGATGTAACTATACATATATATATATGAAGAACAATCGTATGTGCCCACATTTTTTGTACTTCAGGGTTAGAAGTTAGAAATATCTTATAATTTTGTCCTGAAGAAGCCCACTATAGTGGTGAAACCGGTGACACTTCTTATAAACTACAAGACCTACCTATTGCTCCTTACCCTGTTGTGATTGAATCTATTTTCTGATGTACTCATTTTTACTTAATCCCCTGCATACTTTCAGGTATCACAACGAGGAATAAAGGACCAAATTATTCCACCATTAAGAAAACCACGGCGTTGGCTCTACACTTGCCTAAATTAAATATATGTACACTTTGCTGAACATCAAACTTAATGGGCCAGGCGTTGAGAAAGTATATATCCTTAGCAGGTTTCATCAACACCTAATTATTCTTTTAAAAGATATCATACATGTGACGACTGAAAAAATATCCCCTGTAAGCTGCTTAGCAGGAAACATAAGAGAATAATATAAAAACAAGCAGAATTTAGAGTTGAAATTATTTAATGATCTGATTAAAAAAATGGTACACAAAAATTCAAGTCTGACGTAAACATATGATAACACAGCATAAATAAATAACAAACTGATATTTCTGTACTGAGTAAATTTCACCTAGATTTTTTTTTACAACCAATTTATCATAAAACTGTTTTCAAACAAGAATATTATACATGTTCTATTAGTATGTGCTCTCAAGCTGAGGAGGTACAAGGTACATTAAGTTTCAGAACTGTCACGCGGAATATGGAGTTTGTTATTTTAGTAAAGGATGACCTGATCAACTTTAATAGGGTGTAAACGTATCAGATGATAATATCAATATCATTACTGTGTAATAAATATGATTTTTAACACCACTCTTAATACAAGTATGTAAATTAGCATAGTCCTTGTAACCATATCAAGTTACCATCGGGCAGAGCGACTCCAAATAATTTGGTTTCTTAAAAATACAAATACTGTAGATTAATACATATTTGCATGCTGTACCTCCATAAACTTACAAATAGATATGCATTGATGAAGACAGGATATTTGATTTGTCAAGTCTGCTTCCTTGGGGTCTGTATCACAACATATCGTCCAGATGTCTCTATTCAACCAAGAATTTCAACAATTTTGTTTTGTTTTGTTTGTTTGTGTATTGTTTAACGGCCCATCGACAATTTGAGTCATTTAGGACCAGAATATATAATAAAGTTTCTATCAATTTGAAGTGAAGCTTACCATTTACATGTGATAAGCTCATGCCTAGAATGAAGTCCATCCCCTTGATTAACCAATTTTACACCCAAATTTAACAGGAAATGTTCCAGTCATGAATATATGGCATAAAATTACGGAATAACACCAGATCTCATTTCCTCCCTCTTCCTACAATTTGACCTCTGTACTTGTACAGCATCAGCTTTATAAACGAGTGAGCCCTGGACTGGTAACAATACCCCGGACCAGTTTAAAATTTTGTTGTACCCTTTAAGACAATCTATTGTAGAAAAGAAACCTGTATTTTTTTTTTAAAGCACTGTATTCATAGAGTGTATAAACAAGATGCTGGACAGAAAAGACATTGCGCAATCGCATAAGCCATTATACACTTTATACCAGATGAACTACAAATTACATAATATATGACTCAAAATGTAGCATTGACGGATCATATTCACGTTATGTAAGTGAAACATTCGAAAAAGCATTTGACATTAAAATAGATAATTTGTAAAATCCATATCATATACTGTTCATGATTACATGGACATTTAATATCACAGACTTCCGCCAAAGGGAGATAATAAGATATCTCCATGGCAACATGCAATAGCTTATAGATAAACAACAACAACAACAATAACAACATGAATGCCTACAGCATGATAAGCACTGCATCAGCCAAATAAGACTGTAGTTGACATTTTTTTTATTCTATGTCGAGCCACGCTGATCCAGAGCTCCTCTTACATAGAACTGACAGCACCGTCTACAATAGACTAACAGGAATACTAAAGATATCTATATTAACATGGACCTAGAACTAACTACAAATAAGAATGTTACAGTTTAAGTCAGCAGTTTACTATACTTCAGAAGTTAGTGTAATTGATTAAGTTGAGGTGTCATGTAGACCAGTGGGAATCCTAACTAGTGAACTTACTGGGTTTACAGCTCTTACAGCTACAGATCAAAAACAGGGGGGATCTATTGAGAATAAAACCTAAGATTGATTATAACACATGATTTTATCAACAACAATACTATTATTAAACTAATACTGGTGAAGTTCTGGAATATGTAGGATAGCTGAAGTAAACTGTTTCTATGGAAAGCAACTGTTCTCATTCTTTAGTGAACTTCCACCTTCTTCAAATGCCAAATTTCACATAATGCTTGTTACTCTCCTTCAAACATCAAATGTTATCTAATAATAAAATCATATGTTAACAATCCATAGCACGCTATTAAAGAATAAACTTTAAATATCACTTCTGTATCTCTACTAAGACAATATATAAGAGCAGAATCTTAGGTAATGTTCAGGGTACAATAATAAGATACATTTTTTATTTTCTATAGAAATCACTGGTTGGACACATTTTCTGTCAATACTCACTGGTTTAAACACATTGGATTCTGAAGAAGCTCACTGGTCCAGAATAACAAAAATATTTGAAGCAGTGTAACCTTTTTGAAGGTCTACTATATACTTCTGGATTATACAGGGCTCAGTTTAGCCAGGTTACTATGTACAACCTCTAATGAATAGTATAAATCTATACAATAAATAAATATCTATATTTACAGTCTACACCGACTTTCTCTCAAATAACCATTGTTCCAGTAAACTGGAGTTATCTCATACCCTTAACATAGATCGTGACATGTTTCCATGACACTGACAAAACGAGGGGGGAGGTATGCAAATTTTCCAAATTGTGTGTTGTTATCAACAGTAAATGTTGGCGGAGCTAATCAAGGCTTATGCAAATTTCAAGTTGTTAATTTTGTTAAACTGATCAAAGGTTTGAAAATGAAATATGTATCAGCTATTGATCATTTATACACTGTCTGACTGACAGAAATTCATGTAACACCTTGGTCTTGTGTTTCTTATACACCGACAGAAATTCATGTAACACCTATGTCTAGTGTGTCTTATAAATTGACAGAAATTCATGTTAACACCTTGGTCTACTGTTTCTTATACACTGACAGAAATTCATGCAACAACTAGATCCATTGTTTCTTATACATTGACAGAAATTCATGTTAACACCTACACTACAGGTCTAGTGTTTCTTATTCACCGACAGAAGTCCATGTCACATCACAGTCCAGTGTTTGTTTCACAGATAGATGTCCACTTAATATCAGAGTCCCGTGTTTGTTATATATACACCAACAGAAGTCTATGTCACATAACGTCCCGGTCCAGTGTTGATTATCCCCCAAGAGTGGCTGACATAAAATCTTGGTTCAGTGTTTGTTATACACCAACAGAAGTCCATGTCACATTACGGTCCAGTGTTGATTATCCACCAAGAGTGGCTGACATAAAATCTTGGTTCAGTGTTTGTTATACACCAACAGAAGTCTATGTCACATAACGTCACGGTCCAGTGTTGATTATCCACCAAGAGTGGCTGACATAAAATCTTTGGTCAGTGTTTGTTATACACCAACAGAAGTCTATGTCACATAACGGTCCAGTGTTGATTATCCACCAAGAGTAGATCACTTAATGTCACGGTCCAGTGTTTGTTATACACCAACAGAAGTCTATGTCACATAACGGTCCAGTGTTGATTATCCACCGAGAGTAGCTCACTTAATATCACGGTCCAGTGTTTGTTTGCACTGACAGAAATCCACATAACATCACAATCTAGTTTTTTTGTCAGTGTCTGTTATCCTAAGCAGAGGAGGAAGCACTAACTAATATGAGAGTCACTATTACATTTGATACCGTACAACTATCACCAGGACTAAACATGACTTAACATCACCTGGACTAAAGCTATGGACTTATGTGTCTGTCTATAGTATCTTGCTCAGAGCCAGTGTCACTTGTTGAGTAGCTGCTTGCGCTGTTGCTGCAGCAGCCCCTCTAAATGGTCAGCTCGTTTCTGTGCAGCCTGGTACTGCTGTCGCACCTGGTTCAACACCTCTTCCTTCTTCACAATAGCTTGCTTAACCCTGAAACAACAATGTATCACTCATAATAGTTACCATAATCTGTGCTTTTTTTCTTCTTTTATATCCCCCCCAAATAAAATTCATAAGTACACAATTTGATGAAATGATGGGGATGTTTTCATTTTAGAGAGGCTCTTGTCAGCTACTCTGTCAGCTAAAACAGAAGACTCTGGGACATTATTTGATAAACTTAAAATGATAGGAAAATAAATAAATATTCTTTTAATCATAGTGCCAATAGGGTAGCCAAATATTTACAAACAAGAGGCCCATGGGCCTTAACGGTCACCTGAGTCCTACAGTATTTATTTTTGTTGTTGAAATATGTACCAATTTGAGTAAAAATTTGTGAAGTATAATGTTAATTTAAGTTTGTCAGGACCATGAGCTGATCTTTCCTAGACCGATATTCAGTTAGATCGGCCTATTAGAACTTGTTTTTAAGTATGAAATAGGTATTTTCAAAATAGTGGCCATGGCAGCCAAATTGTATTTCTGATCGACCTGAAAAACAACACTTTGTCAGGACCATGAGTCGATCATTCCTACAAAGTTTCAATTCAATTGGCCTAGCAGAACTTGACTTTAAGTTTGAAATAGTTTTTCAAAATGGCGGCCATGTCAGCCATATTGAATTTCTGATAGACCCGCAAAATAACAATTTGTCAGCTAAAGCTCAGGTGACCTAAAAACCTGTTCTCTCTGACCATCATCTTCTGTCCCCAACTTTGTGTTGTTGATGTCATGCATTGTCTTAACCAGGACATCACAATGCTGACATCTGTTCATGTTTTGTCTTAAACCTGTTGTCCCAAGGGGTGAAATTACGTGATGTAATACCAAAAATTGCAACGAGTTCAATGCATAACATGGTAATCATTGGATTAATACCATCCTCCAATACAACCAAGTGTTGTAAAAGAGCTGGAAGGATTTCTTCATGCAATATTTTACCAAACATAAACGAGTACTCTACCTGTTATGTACTTGTTCCATTTCATCATCTTTGAGTTTCTTTACTTCTTCTATCTGATCTTTAGATCTATCCAGCTCAATACGGTGCCGTGCTTTCATTTCAGACATTTCGTTCTTAATTCTACGGTTTTCCTCATCAGTGGTTACAAGTCGATCTGCAAATTCCTGCCGTATGATGTCCGAGACGCGGTCTCTCTCCTTGTGCATCTTATCTGTTAGCTGCAGCAGATTTGAAGGGTTATGTTTGTTTAATAGTAAATAATGATATTCAACATACTGGTCAAATTCATTTGCTTTACAAACAGTTAATAGCACTGCAATACCGGGATGTCTGAACAGGTACAATGTATTAGACATCTCTATTACATCGTATGCATAGGAAGTTTCACCATATCAACATTCACAATTTTCATGTATAAAGCACAGTTTAACTACAAATAAAGCTCAAAAAAGGTAATGGCCAACCATGAACAGTTGTATCAATGAAACGATTTGTGATCTTAAACTTTGGAAAGTAATTACCCATTAATACCTCACAAGGTAACTTAGCAGCTGATCACAAAGTATTCTTTGTCACATTAAGAAACAGTTCATTCATTTACTGGAGACACCCGCGGAAGAGAAATATACAAATGTAAATGAACCTGTAAGTAAGAGATTAAAAATATATTGTACCAATCAGAATTTCATTAAGCTTACCAATAGCACTTAACTCATTCACCCCTTAAATGTCATAATTAACTGTTCCAACCTTTGAACTTGAAGAGTTCAACTGTGTCTTCAGGGGTGAATGAGTTAATAAAGGATAAGAACATGTTTGAAGTTGACAAAGTTAAGGTCAGGCAGATATATCAGATGGTAGGAGACTTACTTGCTGTAATTGTGCTATTTCTTGATCTTTTTGCTTTAAATATACTTTCAGGCATTCATTTTCTCCTTCAACTTCAGTTAGTTTCGCCTGTAGCAGAACAAAAAGAAAAAGAATGTAGTCAAACTTATTAATAAATTAGCTTAATTTCATTGATGTTCCCATGCTTATGACAAACCTGTAAGCAAACTCATTAATTTCAGTCTGACAGGATACTATAAGTCTATAACAACACATTTTCTTGGAAAATCATATTTGTTATGTTACAATAAACAAAACACAATTTAAAAACTCATACAAAAGTGGCCTGATCTTGTTTAATTACTTCAAAGACAAATTTTTTTTTTAAAGTTAAAAAAGTTAAAAAAAATGATACCTGAGGGATGTACCCAGGTAAGAACACAAGAAATACAAAAAAAACTATAGACTGTCTTAACACCAATCTAAAAATGTACATGAATGACCATACCTTCATTTCATTATATTTTTCTAAAGCTTGCATTTCAGATCGTTCCAAATCCTTCATTTCTGCTTGGTATTTTTCACGTATCCTCCTGTGTAAAAGTAACATCATGACATATACTTGTAAAACCAACAGGAAAGCATTGCAAACAATTTCCCATACACAAATTCAAACATTGGATTCACAGAAACCAAGGTCAAAGGTCAAGGTTACAAAAAGTCATGCAATATGTTTTACTTGTTGAGGAGCATAGATGGGGTAACAATATTCCTTGCACCATTTGGTGGTGAGGCATCAAAATATTTGTGGTTAAAACCACTTTTTGAGATACACCAGTTACTATTAATGGAATTGCTACAATAGTTTGATATTGTCAGAGAAAAATGATACTTGTTTAATAATATTCACATATTTAAAAAAAAAATACAATGCCATTACTGTAGTAGTAAATGACATATGCAGATCTAGGATGTCTCTGAAAATAATCATGATTTAAAAGTCCTTTTTCTACATAAACCTGTACGCTTTCATACACATTAAATGACATTTAATACAAATATGCAACACATTAGATTTCCAATATTTTGACGGTCATTTTTCCTTTGACAACATTTCTTCCTTCACGTTGAGATTGATATTTAAGTGGTAAACATTACTTGGGGTTTAAATTACTTGTGATCTTACTTGATCTTATTTTCTGCAGCTCGTTCACATTCTTCACGTGAAGAAGTGGCATCGTCCTCAAGTCGAGAGATGACCATCTCAATCTCCTTGTCCCGGTCACGCTTCACTTGATCCCTGAGCTCACGCTCCTTCTGCATGCTCCAGGTGTCCTGTTTTTTGCGGTAGTTCTCCTCCCACTGCTCCTTCTCTATCCTAACCTTCTCCCTTATATCAGTTGTTTCCTCCTGTCACAAATAATAAAAGCATACTGTAAATCAGGAAAATCTGCTGCAATTAACTTTTTTGCTTTCTTTTGCCCTCAGTAATGACCTAGGGGCGATTTATTATTACAGCGACAAAACATAGCAATTTTATGTGAAGGTTGAAATTTAACCAGGTCAAAAATTGAGTTTATGGGGGAACGGTGAAAGTTTGACTGGGCGAAAATTTCCTGGTATCCTTTTGTTGACATCTATACTCAGAATATGTATGTGTAACAGATTTTGTTTTGTTGAAATGGATTGTTAACGGAGATTTATTTTCAGAAACACAATCATTACATTTAACTCTTATATCCCCATTCTGTTGATTCTAACAGCTATATGAATACACTTACATTATGTCTCCGTTCTTGTTCCTCTCTGGCCTTTTCAAACTCAGACTTCATGGCATTGAGTGCATGTCTGTGGCTATCCTCAAGCTGTCGCTGTAGTTTGTCAAGCTCAGTCCTCTGGCGTGAGGCCTGCTGTGCAACACGGTCCTTCTCTTCCTGAACTTCGGTGTATAACCGGCGACGCTGCTGCTGGTATGCTTCCTCTTCGTTCTGTATTTCCTTCTCATACCTACATGCCACAATCATATGAATGTATTGTATGATAATATCATCATCTCTGACAGGACTATTTCCAAAAAACTTTTACATTTGTAGACACTCTTAATATCAGAGTATAAGATTCTATATGGGAACCATTGAGATTCACTGACGTACCTCTGTTTGGCCAGTTCCCGCTCTCTTCCACACGCTGCTTCCTTCTCTTTTGCCAACTGGTCTCGGAGTTCTTCAGTCATCTTGACATATCTCTGGGCAGCCCGCTCATCAGATTCCAGCAACTCTGCTTCATGAATCTGTTTCATCTTCTTGAACTCATTTTTGTGTTTTGCTATCAGTCTCTGTATCTCTGGCTCCAGTCCCTTCACAGTCATTTCCTTTCACATACCAACAGGGAAAATGTACTCTCCTGTTCAATAGTTTTATTTGACTGATTCTTTACACAAAAATTTGAAATCACAGTCATTGGTGACATTTCACCAAGCAAGAAGACATCGAGTCTATGGTATCCCTTTTCATTTTAACAAACTAAATAGTCAGTACAATTTTCACATATGTTCATGGTTTTGAGGTTTTATTTAATATCAAGATTGTGCCAAATGCACAAGAGAAGTGTAGAAGTTTAAATTACACTTCAATAAAGAAAGACAATGTAAAATAACCATTCTTCATTCCAAGTTTATATAATTAGTTGTATACCTTGATTTTCTTAGTCTTGTCTTCAATCCATCTTTCTCTCCTTAGTTTTTCAGCAGCTTCATGCATATCTTTTAATTTCTTCATCTCAAAGGAATGCCTTCAAGGAAAATGAACATATATTGATCACCAATCACATATGAACCAGATACCTGTTTGCCATCCATTCTTTACAGCATTCTTTATTTTCTTTAAATGCATGCAGTCATAAAGAATATAATCATCATAGTCCTACAAAGTATTTACTTTTCTCGGAATTAGAAGTACAGCCTTTTGATAAACAAAAGGTCCACAGAGCCTGTATCATCACCCCTGATATATCAAATATATGAATCACGAATAATACCCAACTTTGGCTCTGTATCTATCTCTGAATCCAAGAGTACAACACTCTTCCTGAAATAAAACTTGAATCCCTTGTCCCAAGTAAGTCTTTAAGCAAATTTGGTTGAAATATGATCAGCTGTTCAGTAGGAGTAGTGCTTTTAATACTTAAATACCCAAATTACACTGTTTTAGACCCAACATTCAGACAAGCCATATTCTTCCTTTGCACAACAACTAATTCCCAGGTCATGGCCAAAAGAGTTAAGCTATTTACAGATTGGAAATGGTAAATCATCGTAAAGGTTTCTGCCCCATAGCTCCTATCTGAACCTGCCGTTCTGTATCTTGTACAGATTTGTGTGGTGTTTTATTTAAGATTGACAAGAGTCAGTCAGGTCAGACATGACTCTATTACCCTGGTATGTGTCTATTGTGCTTGTACTCAAGTTATCTTTTCTGACCACCCAGTATCTGAATACCCTGTAGAGAACACCAGTGTGTGATCAAGTAACTTTCATTTATAAAATGACGTCTAGTAAATAGCTTACTTTTCATCCATGCTTTTGAACTTCTCCTGGTATTTCCGGTCTATAATCTTCAATTCCTTCACCAGCTGTTCACACTTCTCACTCAGGCTCTTCTTGTCGTCAATCAGCTGTTTAAATCAACATATACTCACTGGTGTAATCTCACATCAATCAGCTGTTTAAATCAACATATGTTCACTAGTGTAATCTCACATCAATCAGCTGTTTAAATCAACATATATTCACAAGTGTAATCTCACATCAATCAGATGTTTAAATCAACATATATTCACTAGTGTAATCTCACATCAATCAGCTGTTTCAATCAACATATATTCTCTAGTGTAATCTCACATCAATCAGCTGTTTAAATAAACATATATTCACTAGTGTAATCTCACATCAATCAGCGGTTTAAATCAACATATACTCACAAGTGTAATCTCACATCAATCAGCTGTTTAAATCAAAATATACTCACTAGTGTAATCTCACATCAATCAGCTGTTTAAATCAAAATATACTCACTAGTGTAATCTCACATCAATCAGCTGTTTAAATCAAAATATACTCACTAGTGTAATCTCACATCAATCAGCTGTTTAAGTCAACATATATTCACAAGTGTAATCTCACATCAATCAGATGTTTAAATCAACATATATTCACTAGTGTAATCTCACATCAATCAGCGGTTTAAATCAACATATACTCACAAGTGTAATCTCACATCAATCAGCTGTTTAAATCAAAATATACTCACTAGTGTAATCTCACATCAATCAGCTGTTTCAATCAACATATATTCTCTAGTGTAATCTCACATCAATCAGCTGTTTAAATAAACATATATTCACTAGTGTAATCTCACATCAATCAGCGGTTTAAATCAACATATACTCACAAGTGTAATCTCACATCAATCAGCTGTTTAAATCAAAATATACTCACTAGTGTAATCTCACATCAATCAGCTGTTTAAATCAACATATATTCACTAGTACTTTCATTTATAAAATGACGTCTAGTAAATAGCTTACTTTTCATCCATGCTTTTGAACTTCTCCTGGTATTTCCGGTCTATAATCTTCAATTCCTTCACCAGCTGTTCACACTTCTCACTCAGGCTCTTCTTGTCGTCAATCAGCTGTTTAAATCAACATATACTCACTGGTGTAATCTCACATCAATCAGCTGGTTAAATCAACATATATTCACTAGTGTAATCTCACATCAATCAGCGGTTTAAATCAACATATACTCACAAGTGTAATCTCACATCAATCAGCTGTTTAAATCAAAATATACTCACTAGTGTAATCTCACATCAATCAGCTGTTTCAATCAACATATATTCTCTAGTGTAATCTCACATCAATCAGCTGTTTAAATAAACATATATTCACTAGTGTAATCTCACATCAATCAGCGGTTTAAATCAACATATACTCACAAGTGTAATCTCACATCAATCAGCTGTTTAAATCAAAATATACTCACTAGTGTAATCTCACATCAATCAGCTGTTTCAATCAACATATATTCTCTAGTGTAATCTCACATCAATCCCTGTAGAGAACACCAGTGTGTGATCAAGTAACTTTCATTTATAAAATGACGTCTAGTAAATAGCTTACTTTTCATCCATGCTTTTGAACTTCTCCTGGTATTTCCGGTCTATAATCTTCAATTCCTTCACCAGCTGTTCACACTTCTCACTCAGGCTCTTCTTGTCGTCAATCAGCTGTTTAAATCAACATATACTCACTGGTGTAATCTCACATCAATCAGCTGGTTAAATCAACATATATTCACTAGTGTAATCTCACATCAATCAGCGGTTTAAATCAACATATACTCACAAGTGTAATCTCACATCAATCAGCTGTTTAAATCAAAATATACTCACTAGTGTAATCTCACATCAATCAGCTGTTTCAATCAACATATATTCTCTAGTGTAATCTCACATCAATCAGCTGTTTAAATAAACATATATTCACTAGTGTAATCTCACATCAATCAGCTGTTTAAATCAACATATACTCACTAGTGTAATCTCACAAGTGCAACAAGAGATCAGTCTTAGAGTCATCCAGCAGGGAATTAGTAGGTCCCTTATATAGCCCTCAGCTCAAACATTGAACACACGTTTATCTGAAGATATTTGAGTGTCTGATGGAATTTCTTATTCTCTGACCGGGAACATGGCCTAAAGTCTATCAAGCATACATGAATACGTCCTTTTTATCATGAGGGAAGAATTGTTCAAACTGATATAGCATTCAAGTGGGTTTTTTTAAATTATAACCATAAAATGCTTTGTGATCAAAGCTTCACAGGTCCATTTATATGATCGATTACTATTTTCAAACTTAAATTTAAAAAAAAAAAAACACATCTGATGTGAAATATTAATTTAGAGATGACAATTCACATTGGATTTATTCTTCATGAAAAAATTCACAGTTGAATTATTTTGTGTAGACTTTATAAGTGCCATTCCATTTAAAAAAAAAGTGCCACCCCATAACGGGCATTTTATTTTCCAGTGCACTGCATGCCAAGATAATTTGAATTAATCTATCTAATGCACTGCACATATACAGTCGAACCTGCTTATAAGACCTTCTCCGTTAAGGGACCGCCTGTTACCTGTTTTAAGCACTTTAATGTTCCCCATCATAGTGATTTTTTTAATTGTGAACTGAACCTGTACGAAGAGACCACTTTTAGGGTGGTCTCTTTATACAGGTTTGATAGTGATGCAGCCTTTGCCTTCAATCACCCCACTTACTATGGATTTCTTTTTCCTCCATGAGGTGATATTTGCAACTGAAATACGTGTAGTCCTGACATGGAGTTAAACATAAATTCCAATAGCTGAACATTCTGTATTTTAAATAACAGCACAAACCTGATCGATAAATGAGAGATGTCGTTTTATAGTCTCTTCGTATTCATCCTTTTGTATTTCAAGCCTCTTTTTCATTTCCTTATCTGTTTCCCTGGCATGTCGAACAGTCAACTCTCGCTGCTGGTTCTACAATTCAGTTGAAATTCTTTAAGACATTTCTACTTTTACTTGATGAGACAGACAAACATAATTTGTATAACAGGTTTGATGCAAAACCTTTATCTTTAGTTGACCACATATGTTTAATAAGATTCATCAGTTTGGAGAGATGTCATATCAAAGTTTTACTTTATACACAAACAATGTTGTATCAAACGTGTCGCTACATTTCAAGACCAACTAGTCCCTTTGACAAGCTATGACTGAGTGAGATATAGTAAAACTTTGATATATTTGACCACATTTGTTTCATTATAAACAAACATGAAGGTTAATCTTAAAGTAAGTGAAAGGTTTATTCTGGTTTATTACATACTTACTCATAAATACAGGTATTTTGTATATGTGATACAACACAATTGCTCTAACCAATATCAGCCCTCTCTGTATCACACCCCAAAACCTGTATCAGTCCCCTCCGTATCAGCCCGCAAAACCTGTACTAGCCCTCTCTGTATCACACCCCAAAACCTGTATCAGTCCCCTCCGTATCAGCCCGCAAAACCTGTATCAGTCCTCTCTGTATCACACGCCAAAACCTGTATCAGTCCCCTCCGTATCAGCCCGCAAAACCTGTATTAGCCCTCTCTGTATCACACCCCAAAACCTGTATTAGCCCTCTCTGTATCAGCCCGCAAAACCTGAATCAGCCCTCGCCGTATCACACCCCAAAACCTGTATTAGCCCTCTCCGTATCAGCCCGCAAAACCTGTATCACACCCCTTTTGAAACACTTCTAATTTTTCTCATCTTTGGCCTTTGGGCTGATATTGGAGTCTCAGGTTAATACTGGGTGTGATATATAAAACGTATGCCTCTACATATTAAAACAAGAGGTCCAAAGGGCAGGTGAACTAAAAATCTCCTTCATACTTTAAAGGAATTAATTTAATGTAATATACTGTAGCTTGTCAATATTAGGTTATTTTTACGTACTAGAGCTTTCTGTAGCATGCTAACTGTCCTCTTTCTCTCATCCAGTTCGAGTCGCTGTGATAACATGGTGGAAGTAACTTCATTGGCAGCTTCCTGTGCCTGTTCAAGCTCGGCAAGCTGGTCTACAGAGGGTACAAGTGGAACTGGTCGGTCAAAATCCTCTGATGCTTTACTTATCTCCTGTCAGGGAATATAAACAAATGTAAAATAGCACCTTCACCATGACAATGTCCTCTGATATCTTACTTTTCTGTCAACATCGAAAAAAACAAAACCCACATAGAATCCTAAGCATTACAAGGTCCTTTGATATGGAATATTGTTGCATTGGACAAACTTGATTAAAAATCATATGAATTTATTCTAAGTGTTACTAGTTCATGTATTTTGCTTTGAACGTTTTATCAATTGTACACTTGCAAATTGTGGTGTGCATTTTAAGATCCTTGCAATGACGCGATACCTTTTTTACACTCCATTTCATGACCTTGCTCAGAAAAAGGTTCTTTGAGCTTCAAAACAAATATATTAGGTAAGAAAATCATGTCTGTGTACCTGTTCTACAGCGCTGATTCTGTCCGCTACCTGTACTTCATCCAGGAACGACATGATGCTTTTGAGCTTGTCATCACTCAAATAACCACTAGCAGCACCTCCCTCTCGCTGTCTGTTCAACTCATGGAGTTTATCAGCTGTCAAATAGGCAACGTCCTTCTCACTGGACTGGGCTACTTTCTCTAGCTCATCCACTGGAGACACAGACAAACATGAAAGTTATCAATACATGTATTTTCATTTTGCAAAACATTATAAGTCAATCAGCCCCTCAGCCCCCCAGATGGTTAGCTTTTTTTTATTACCTTTTGATCCCCATGGCCTTTGTACCAGATGAGCTAAAATACTTAAGTTTAAATAGGCCAGTTTATAAATATAAAATATATTTAACCAATATCTTAAGGTTATACTGTGTCATGTCATAGACCTACACCATGCATTCTTCCTCTCTGGCTTAGGGGTGACTAAGTGTTCCTCTGCTTCAAGCTTTTTCAGTGTCTCTAGAAGGTCGTTGAGTGTAGACTTGTTTGTGATCTCGCTGTCTGGCCCTCCGTACCCCTGACTCCGCTCTGTCAGCGTTAGAGCATCGCTGTCATGATCACTCTCCATCTGATTCTCATTACTTGCAGACTACCAAGAATAATGTATTAAGCATGTAGACTTACATTTCACATGAATCAGTATAAAGAAAAAAAACAACAACTTATTTTTGTAAAATCAAAATCCGGTTTTTCCTTCTGTTCTTATAGAACAATATTGCTTTATGTTTGATTTTCCTACTTACACTTACCAGTATAGCCAACTAAAGATATAAAACTGTTTGATTCTTGCTAAATTTGCTTTCTTATTCAAGGACAAATTTTCCACTTTACAGTAAGAGTTTATTCTCAATCAAGATTGAATGATCAAGGTAATATTTTCAGATTCATTAAAAACTGATCAAAATATTTTATATTAAATGAAGCAAAGCATAAGAATGTAAATGAGTACCATGTAAGCATGCTGACTAGAATTATAATTTAAATGTTGATAGTGTAATGTACTGTTACCAAAATTCTGACGAAAGAAAATACCAAAACAAAAATAACAGCAAAGCTTAACATAGTCTATATACCTCAATCAATTGCTCACTTCCTTCCTGAGAGCGTGCTGACAGAGTTTTTACGTCTGATATACCTGAACGTGCTGACCTAGCCCTTGCATCTCTATCTACATTATTGTCCTTCTGTGAACTACTAAAACTTTTTACAGGAGATTTCTTCCTTCCAATATTAGCCTTTGCAGGCGTTTTTGTTATTTTGCCACTTGCTTGTAAATATGATATTTCTGCCTCTGCTTTCTGTTTTACTTCATCTCTCTTTTCTTCCCTCTTCTTTTGTAATTCCTAAACGAAAAAGTCATTATTATAATTCAACACACATGAGTACTAGTATTATAAAAAAAAAATGTTAATTAGAAGAATTGCAGTTACACTACATACAATTTCATACAGCTTAATTTTGTAAGATGAGTTCTAATATGAGACAATTGCAAAAGGCCTACTAGTGGGCTTTGCATCTCTCACAATTGTTTACCAATGTTGTTTGTTTCACATCTGTGATCATCGAACATGATTGATTTACTCCTCTAGGCCTTAAATACTTAAGGAGAGTCAAGGTAATTCATTTAGACAACCTTGATAGCCCTTCACACCTGCAAAGTACATGGTAACTATAATTACTCTAAACTTCATGGACCTTTTTAAGTGTCTGTGATCTAAAGAGGTTAACACATTTGGCCAATGTAACATAGAAAGTGGATCAAGGTCATCTATAGAACCCAGTTAAGGGCCTTTTATTCCAATAAATTATTAGGTTTGTTTTGTTATTGTAAGCCTTATGGATCTTAAGAAGTCATTTAATTATTTTAATAAATTTTATATCCCTTCACCCAGCATGCTACCTTCCGACCAGGTGAGCCAAAAAAATGAAGACTTCATCAAATAATAGCATACTGTTTTAACACCAAATAATTTAGATATCGGTACAAGAATAGAGTTTCAAACAACAAACCAGGAAATCAATATCCAAGGTAATGACTACATACCTGAATTGCCTGTTGTCTTGCCTGTTTTGCTTTGTCTTCCCTTATCTTTCTTCTTTCATCAATTTTCCTATCTTCATCGTCCAAAAAATCCAGATCTAATCTATGTTCTTCTATGTCTTTTTTCTTCTGTCCTAAAAGTCTTTTGATTGCTGCCTCGCCTGCCATTTTCACAGCTTTATTCTTTTTCCTCCTTACAAGAATTCTGCGATACCACCTTTGTATTTTGATTGCTGCAGAAGTCAGTGTTTGTACATACTCCTCAGCTGAGACATTTCTCAGTATAGCTAAACCTTCCTTAACCTGGTTCACTGGTGTTTTGTGTTTGATATTCTGATAGGAGTTTTCTATACTTGACAGGGAAGCCTTTGTCCTTGGAGATTTCACAGTTATAACCATGTTGTTTGCAATACCATTGACTCCGTTTACATGGTTTATAGCCGAGTTACTGGTATTCACACTAGACGGTCGAGGTTTAGGTTTTCCATTCTTGTAACTGTCAGATTTTGCTGTATGAGACATTCGCTGGAGTGACTGTATTTTATTGAGACTTGATGACAGTATACCATCATTGTCAGAGTCTGAGCTACTGTGAACACTGCTCGGCTGAAAGAAGTTCTGTTGCATGATGGGTGACAGAAGCCCACCCCCATCATTGTTGACCCTCTGCGTGGAGTTGGTGCTTCTCTGACTATCCAGCTCACCCTTATGAGGCTATATGAAACAAATAACATTGTATATACAGTTGTACATGTTATAATGAAAGGTAAGGTGTGTGATGAGTGTAATCCATCTTAAACCAGGGTTTGTACAGGAATTTTACTATGAAATACAAGGCTTTTTTTGGGACATTTTCAGGTACAACAATTAGACAAACAAAAAATGTCTGTGTGTTTCCGCTATCATTCTCGGAAAAATTAGGGTAGGAAGGCAGGCAATTTTTTTTTTTTTTTTTGGAAATATTTTTACTACCTGATATAGAGCAGTAGTTCTGACTTTGACAGGGCATATCACTAAATACCAATAAAAACTTTAGGGTAGACACACAAAACTGGGGTAAATAGAGTTAGTGGAAACACAATTTTTTTGTATATGGCCTTAAAGCCTTAAACCTCCCACCATTAGCAAATTTTCAAAATACTGTGAACCTGGATGTCTCTAAACTAGCCTTATAAAATCAAACGACTCTAACACATAACACTGGTCAATAGTTCGAAAATCTAGATATTAACTCATAACAAATATTTCATTTTCTTGTATTAACTGATTTCATATTGATAATAGTAACGCCACAAAACCACAAAAAATAACATACCATCGTAGTTTAATGATCATTTAGAAATTTTTTGGTTAAATTTGTGGGTTTTAAGGGCCTTTTCATCATTTTAGGGCTTTTCAATTTAAAGAATGGTAGACAGAAGAAACAGTCGTAATTTTCATAATTGCAGTTGAAACAAGACGGAGATCACACACTCACTGCTTGATGTGATGGGTATTATATTTATATAAAAATTCTCATTAGAACTAGTACAGTGCTTTAAGTGTCCAAAAGAAATACCAGCAGTGCCTGGACAGACAGGTAAACTGATCTCAGTATTCTCCTTCAAATTTCATTGGAGATTAATGATTACGAACTCACCCATCAGACATGTGCAATTTCAAGATAAATTTTAAAACACTGGATGTTTAAATAATCCTCACAGTTACAAAATGTGCTTTAATATTGAACGAATAATGATCAGGTATTCAGGGTTCACTTTGCACAAAATTTTGATGGCCTAATAAAAGAATATTTATAGGTTTTTATTCAAAATCAAATTCTATGGTTATTTTGTAGAGTTGTAAAAAATGTTAACTTCTTTTAGAGCTTTCTGCAGCGACTCTTAAAGTTTTTAAATAGGTGAACACTTACTATGTATTTCTAAAGAACATTTCTGTAATACATTTCAAAAATTTTTTGTAATACATTTTCTATAAGAAACAACCTGAATATTCAAGCAGCCATAGCAAAATATTCTCATTAAATATTATACTGTACTACAATTATTTCACTCGCAAACTTTCTCGACTTCATCAGTTGAAACTACCAGTCAAATATTATTGTATGATTCTATGGTTTTTGATTCTTCTTCAAAAGTTGTTTGAAGTGTTTGACATATTTTTCCTTGTGATCTTGTAAGAAGGTCAAGGTCATTTTCCTTCTCAAACTTTGCTGGTTCTATCCCAAGACGCTACCAGCCAAATCATGAATCCATTCCTTTTGGTTCTTCAGAACAAATTGTTTAAAATTTTGTTGACTTCTGTGACCTTGAAAGTAGGTTGAGATTGTTTTCATTCGCAAACTTTGGTGGAAAGCCACCAGCCAAATATTATGATTCTATGCCTTTGATTATTCATCAGAAGTTGTTTGATGTTTTTGACATATTTGACCGCTGTAACCCTAAAAGTAGGTCAAGATCATTTTCATTCCAATCTTTGTCATGCTCAATCTTAAGAAGTTACCAGCCATATATTAAGATTCTATACCTTTCAGTTCCTCCAAAGTCGCTTAAAGTGTTTGACCCCTGTAACCTTGAAAATAGGTCAAGGTGATATTCACTCTCAAAATTTGCCAGGCTCCATCTGAGGAAGCTACCTGCCAAATATGAAGATTCTAAACGTTTTAGTTCCTCAGAAGAAGTCTTTTGAAGCATTTGACATATTTGATGACTGTGACCTTGAAAGTCGGTCAAGGTAATATCATTCTCAAAATTTGCCAGGCTCCATCTGAGAAAGCTACCAGCCAAATATGAAGATTCTATACGTTTCAGTTCTTCAGAAGAAGTCATTTGAAGTGTTTGACACATTTGAACCCTGTGACCTTTAAATAAGGTCAAGGTCATATATTTTCAAACTTTAACGGGTTCCAACCAATAAAGCTTTCAGCCAAAAATCATGACTTTTGGCCTGTCCGTTCTTCAGAAGTTGTTTAAAGGAAAAGTTAATGGACGACACCAGACGAGGGACGGGGTACCAGGACATAAGCTCACTTGCAGGTGAGTCAAAAAACACATGCTTTTCTCCACATTACAACATATTGTAATGTTCAACTAGAGAATATCTAGGTTTTCAAAATTCAAAATTGTTTACCAGTAAAAGAGAGAACTTGTGACTGTTTATATCGTGTTAGTAAAGCTGAGAACTCATCAACTTACTGCTTCTTGCCAGAGAACCTTGACAGCATTTGGTGAGGGTTGCTTCTGTTTTGATGTTGACTTTATCTTTGGCTGCATGGATGTCTCAAACAGAGCTAAGAAGTCCTCCCTTGAAGGTTAGAAAATTGAGAACTGTTGCACGCCTGACTGAAGAATTTAATAAATTTGCAAAATTTATTACTGATCTTTGTATTGAAGTTATAGAGCACAGCATGGACGCATTAACTAATAGAAGTGTTTGACTGAAACACTCTAAAACTATATAAATGGTGCTCAAGACCGTTTTCAGCATAAAATTCTTTATCATAATCATGTCAACTTAAATTCTAGTGTTAAAATATAAAATAAAGACATACCCTGGTGACTTGGCCGTCCTGCTACTTGCTTTACTCACTGAGGACACAGCACTCTTCTGACTTCTGTCACTCAAGTTAGGTACTACAATGCAGATAGATTTAGAGCATCTTCTGTAAGATATCTTCTTTAACAAATTTCAAGAATTAAGGATTTTTTTTAAAAATATGACACATCTGCAAATAACCAACAATTAATTGTAAAACAAGGCAATCCATAGTCCCCCACGGTAATAATTTCTATATTTAACAAACACATCATCCCAAGATGTTCTTTTACACCAAATCTGCTTACCATAGGTGAAAAATTAGTACAGAAGATATGGCCCAGACAAACTTTTTTAAAAGCAAAGGTCAAAGGTCAAGTAATAGGTCACAGTGACCTAATTCTTGCACTCTGCCATCCTAAGATGTCCTTGTACACCAAATCTGCTTACTCAAGGTGAAATAGTATAAAAGATATGCCCTGGATAAAAAAAAAAAAAAAAAGTAAAGGTCAAAGGTCAAGTCAAAGGACACAGTGACATAATTCTTGCACTATGCACTCTGTCATCCAAAGATGTTCTTGTACACCAAATCTGGTTACTCCAGGTGAAAGAAGATATGCCCCGGATAAACTTTTTCAAAAGTGAAGGTCAAAGTGGCAGTCATAAGTCACAGTGACCTATTCTTGCACTATGCACTCCGCCTACTTAAAATGTCCTTGTACACCAAAACTGGTAACTCCAGGTGAAAAAGTATAGAAGATATGCCCAGACAAACAATATCCAAAGTAAAGGTCAAAGGTCACAGTGACCTAATTCTTGCACTCTGCCATCCCTGGTTACTCCAGTGAAATAGTATAGAAGATATGCCCTGGACAAACTTTTTCAAAAGATAAGGTCAAAGGTCAAAGCATAGGTCAGTGAGCTTTTTCTTGCACTCTGACATCCAAAGATGTCTTTCTACACCAAATCTGGTTACTCTAAATTGGGGACTAATAAGGAAACAGGATAGTTCAAATATGTTTTTACATATACAAGTTTTATCTTTTTCTGTTATGTAATATAAGCAAAATACTTTTGAAATAAAAAATAACATACTTTTATTAATTATGTATAAAATATTTACCATCTGCAGAATTTTTCTTTAAATGTGTACTCCGTGATGTTTCCTGGAAGTCAAATACATTTGTTTTAGTCAAACATGCCCAGTAGTTGGTACAGAGATATCGCTCAAAGCAAATTTTCCAATTTGACCACTTTCACCTGGAGTGTCTGTCTCTTCATTTGTATAATTTTTGATATTCATGGTATATTATCATTGCAATTTGGTTGAAATTTGCCCAGTAGTTGGGAAGGAAGTCATTTAATTATAAAGCAAATCAGGTAATTTGACCTCTTTTCTTCAGTCCCTCAATCCCCAGGAACGACAGCCTCTTATTTTTTTTTAACTTAACTTCACCATGGGCTAAACATGCTATCAGAACATTTTAGTCAAAATTGTCCAGTGTCTTAGAAGTACGAAGGTAGGTAATTATAACAATAAAGCAAATCAGATAATTTTACTATTTTACCCAGCCCGTCAACCACACAAAGCGAAACTAGATATTTCTCAACTTCAATTTCAAGCATACCTTGTTTGGTCCTCTTTTATCACTAGAAAGGTTTGGCTGCCTGCTAGAAGAGGACTTTTTGACGGAGGATATCTGTGAACCGGTGAGGCTAAGATTCACATCCTCTCCACGGCCAACCTTACTTCTACTACTGCTCCGTGCAGACATCTTTCTTATCTAATGTAGTAAAAGTTGAAATAAAAATTGTTACAAAAATTTTGCAGGTATCTTAAATAGCCACAATCATCTATTTTTGAGGCAGGTACGCCTCTCCACCTAGTTCTCTTCTTCTTCTTTAGTATACAAAGGCTCCATCAATACTGATGATTGTGCCTTCGGGAACCTGTGCACAAAGGCATGAAAATAGGGATTATTTACAATGATTAGATAAACAAGAGGCCCAAGGGCCTTAGCGGTCACCTGAGTTATATCATAGATACTGGTAGCTTTATTTTATTGTTTAGATGTGATGTGGAAATCAGCATGTAAACTAAGTGAAATTCAATACTTGTCATGTCATCAATGGATAAGAATTTGAAAATATTGGTAAATGTTTCCTTTGGGGCCCCGCTCTAGCCCCTGGGGATGGGGCAGGAATCCTAATTTTACAAAGTAAAACTCTCATTTACCCAAGATGATTCTGACTAAGTTTGAGCAATTTTCTGCTGAAAATATATAAAATATATACCGAAAAGTGTTATTTCCCTATATAAACTATATTAAACGTTAACCCCTCCCCAAGGGAGAACGGATAGCTCGGGGTCCTGATATTTTCAATTTAAATAAAGCCCCTGATGATCTTTCTTTCCACGTAAAGAAAATCACTGTAGTACCTCTGAGTCTGGAGAAGAAGATTTTTGAAATATTGATTAATTTTCCCTTTGGGGCCCCGCCCTGGCCCCAGGGGTCGGGGTAGGAATCTCAATTTTACAATTTGAAACCATCTACCTCCAAGGATAATTCTCACCAAGTAAAAATAATTTCCTACAGAAAGTTGTCAAAATATACCCAAAAGTGTTATTTCCCTATATAAACTATAGTAAACTTTACCCCCTCCCCAAGGGAGAACGGATAGCTCGGGGGTCCTGAAATTTACAATTTAAGTAAAGCCCCTGATGATCTTTCTTTCCACGTAGAGAAAATCACTGTAGTACCTGTGAGTCTGGAGAAGAAGATTTTTGAAATATTGGATAATTTTCCCTTTGGGGCCCCGCCCTGGCCCCAGGGGTGGGGGTAGGAATCCCAATTTTACAATTTTGAAGCCTCATCTACCAAGGATGATTCTGACCAAGTTTGAAAAAAATCCATCCACTGGTTCTTGAGAAGAAGTTGAAAATGTAAAAGTTTACGCACGACGACGGACGAAAAGCGATTGGAATAGGTCACTTGAGCAAAGCTCAGGTGACCTAAAAAAAATAGTTGTGCAGAGCATAACATTAAAAAGTAAAAGCTGGCATATGTACTAGCGTATGATGAGGGCTTCAAGGGCTGCATAGGGTATGTGTGCCTGGAAGTCTCAGAGTGTTGTGCATTGTACTGCTACTATGGGAAGGAAATTCCATTGTTATTGTGTGTGGGAAGAAGGAATATTTGTAGGTGTCTTTTGTAGCAGATATATGTTTGTATGCATAAGGGTGTGCATGTCTGGTTCGAGGGGCTATGGGTGCGAGTATAGATGTTGGGTTTATTGCTACATGTTGGTGTACATACTATTTTGTAAAAAGAGTTAAAGAGAAAATAAGCTCTGCATGACCTAGGTATATAAATGAACTTTAAATAGTATGTCAATTCGTAGTATTCAGTTGGGTCGCAAAAGAGATTGACATGTTTTAAGTCTTATGAGCTATTTTTATGAAGACATCAGCCTTTATGCTTTAATATTAACTACGTTAACCTGGTTATTTACCTTTCTAATAGCTGAATTACAAATTCAATAGGCCTATATCTAAATTACATATGTATTTTTATCTTTAATAAGGGTATTTGAATATGACTTACCAGGGGGATGGAATTCAGGGCGACTATTACATCTTTTAGGGGGCTTGTTGAACCTTAACATTCTGCCTACCAGTACAGAATTGTGAATGATTGGAATAACCTGACAAGCATGGTAGTGACTGCAGGAAGTCTGTACATTTTTTAAATCCAGACTGAATGACCACTGGAAAAATCTACCCATTAAATTCACACCTTATTGTTATTAGCTCCAGAAAGACAAATAACTCACAGAAAAGCATACGTTATAATTTAGTGATACTGTATCGCTAATTTAAAAAATGCAACAAAAATAGTTATTGGGGGTATTAATGAAACTTATGATAACCAGCATAATGAAGTTATGAATATTCCACAAATCAGTAATTGTAGTGGTTAGAGAACCGGCTTAAATACCCATAGAGAAGTAAGAGACGAGTATGATCGAACCGCATTCAAATTCAAATAGAGCGTGGAGACTTCTTGAATTCCAGATGGGGTGACGCTTACCCTTGTGTACATAGTGGAAAAAACGTACAATGGAAGGGTAGTAACATTATTTGCTATCTTCAACAGCCTTAACCTTGGAAAAATGAACATTAAGATCATGTGCTTATCAGCAGTTAATGTTGCTGACAGCGGGTTAGTGAAATTGTTTCGCTACCAAACACGTCTGTATATTTATCAGGAATTTTAACTGTACAAAAAATATAATCAACACACTAAAAATCGTTAGTGTGAACGAACTTTTAACTCTTTAAACTTGTCACCAACAAATATGCGCATACCATAAAGTATCGATGACAACAAGATATAGGACAGTCTCACAAGTCTAAGACTTACAACGACTGGAAGAACAGTGCGAACAGTACATGTAGTATCTGTTAACGAAATTGTTTGCTAATGTGTGAAAACAGCAAGAGACAAGATTTAATATTCACTGTTTAGAAAACCTTTTTTGGGATTTACTGAAGGGGATATTTGTGTTAGTAACCACTTCCAAAGATCACGAGGAACTTGTATTATATGTTTGAAAGTAAATCTGGTCTATGTTCTGTACTGGACCAAAACAAGTAACTGTGCCAGTAGAGTAGTACTAATGACACTGACATAGGATAAGTCTGGTGACAGGACATGCAGAATATCTGGAATATTTGATGCGCATAGTCGCATACATTAAGAGATTATTCGTGCGCGATGAATGCCAAATTACCTTTTAAATTATCCTAAAAAGATAGAACATACGACAATACATCATGTCAGTCATTCAAAGGAATCTTGTCAAGTTTGTCGGAAATAGGCCTACTTGTAGTAAACAACACATGCGTAAACCATACTTATCCCAGGGTACATTGTAATAAAACTTCCATAAGTAGTTCTCGAGAAATTAGTGGGCAACTCAAGTATAAAATAGAATATATTTGTAGTTAAAGATTTTTAATTGTTTTGATATAAGAAATTATGTACATACGTTTTTTAGCAAATGCTTTTAGTTGATATGACTCATTTAACGTTCACGTGAGAAAAGCGATGCGAACTTTTTTTTACGCGTACTCATTAAATTCGAGGTGGTACACGGAACGACCAGAGAAGCCATTTTGGATTTGAGACTGAATAGAAAGATAAATTAAAACTATTTTGGGGTACCTTAATAGTGGTAGTCTGGTACCATTTGAGCATTAGAGCATGCGTCTATCACTCACATACGAATATTCATAGCTATGGCTGATAGGCGAAAGCTACAAGGTAAGAAAAGATCGAATGAATAACCCCTGGCGGAGTCAATCCGCTATATTTTTCCTTTCTCTTTTTGTTCGTCTGTCGCTCTTATTATTTGATGTACAGTAAGTATGCATAGTTGATATGCGTTATCTGTCCATGGTGCATAACAATGAACAATTTTGTCAGCATGCGCATCCATAGATTGGCAAAAGCATGAATCCATGTGATAATGCGGCTATGCAGTCGAAATGCACCGACCCCCGTATATATACTACTGATACTGCACAGTATTGTAAAGTCCAGAACTGTCACACACATGTGTTGGAACATTTATAACCCCCCCTCCCAGTTTCTATAAGATCACATTTGTAGATGTCGCGTACAATATTTGTCAATCGATATATGGTGAAAGATACAATTGAACATGTACATATATATACGCTTATCCTCTACTCTAGTCTGCAAATCTTTGATATCGAGTAGTGGATATTAGTGTCGGTCAACTTGAAAGGTTTGCCGACACATTACAGTTGATCAGTTATTCAAATAGCACTGTAGCCTTTTAAAACTTAGTTCCAGACTTTGACATGAATATGTTGCCGAAATTCTCTTCGCTTGAGAGGATGCACTGGAACTAACCGCATACTATTAGTATTCAGTTAACATCTGTGTTCAGTGGAGTAAGATCTTTTCAGAAGCAAACATTGGAAATGGCACTCTCGCATTCGCTGGTTGCAGTATAGAAGGCTATCTTTGGAGGAAATGTTTTCAAATTAGGTTTTTAGCTTTTTGTTTTTTTGGCATATAATGCTGTGTAACTCAGTTAGGTAAAAGTAGGAACTAAATTTGCAAATGCAACAATAGAATACAATTTCTAGAAACATATCGGTGAAGAACATATTTGGAGAATGCTGAAAAAGTACTGGTCTGTGATCCATTCTCACCAAGTTCCAATTCTTTCCATGGCAGGTGTATCAAGCTAACAAAATGAGAAATTTATTCATTTTTTTTCAATACAAACTGCAAAAGCAGTCTTGGTCTCTGTAACCACAATATTTTACCCGTCGGCTTACCTGTTTGATGAGAGATATGTTAAATGGGGAGAATATTGGTATTTTGAAAGAAAATCAGTGGAGTTGAGCACCCACAACCTAAATTTGAAAATAAATACAGAAATGAAAAAAATATGTTCTCGGGTGGATTTGAACCTGCAGTGTTTACCATTAGAACAAAATCTACACTAACTGGGTAGAAAATTGAGGAAAAAAGAGAAACCTTTGTGCTTAAACTGATCTATATGGGTCAAAAGTATGTTGGTCCAGTGGCCCTGGACAACCAAGATATTGAAAGCGGCACCTATATGTCTTTAAGTGGTAGTCTGTGCATGTTGGGCCCACAAAAAAGAACCAATTTGGTCCATCTATTAGTATCAAGATATTTGAAGACTCCTATCACTGTCCTTTAACTGAATTGCATAAATGCTTTGATTCACGAGGCAAAAGCCAAGAAGGTTTACATAATGATTCTGTAATTAAGGTTGTCATGTATGAGTGTACCTGCAAGTGTATTTTTGAGAAATATCTTCTGATCTGTATGGCTTAGTCTTTCAATAAAACACATTTGAAACAGCACAATTTTACTGTAGGTTGCCATATCACAACAACTACCTGATGACTGTTGGAAATTACGAAACCTGAAATTGAAAAGAAAATGTGGAAATTTATTATTAGCAATCGACTTCAGTTTTTATAATCCCTGGGGGTGCTACATCTAATACATTATTAGGTATAACCTTACCATGACCTTTCTGAAATATACATATAATATTGCTTATTCCTAGTGAATTTTTTTTGTGCAGGAGAAATCGACAGATGTCTGAAGAAAGTGGGTGAAGGTGTTGAAACTTTTGAAGACATTTGGAATAAGGTGAGATATATATAAATATTTGACTTGGGAATATAAAAATGTATTTTAACAAGCACATAATTATAAGTTTATTTAGAAAGAAAGAGTTGATGATTGATCGATTAATACTAGTTATCTATATTTTACATTGATTTTGCTCCAATGCCTCTTTCAAGAGCTGATTTTGCTCCAATGCCTCTTTCAAGAGCTGACATTTAGCCCTTAACTATGGTGTTCCCATTTCGATGAAGATATTTTAACCACTTGATCAGCTACCATAATATTTTGAAATATTGAGATATTCGGAAAAGGAAGATATTTTTTCTCAAACACACTGGCACGGAGATCCTTCAAAAGATAAAAAAATTAAACAACAACACTGCATTTAAATGGAAAAGTACAATGAATAGATTACATTGAAAGACCTTTCATTATTGTTTAAGATATATACGTAAAGAAAAATGAACTTGAGACAGAAATTAATGGGAAAAGTATTTGATGAAATAGTCTATGGATTGCATGTTCATTAAAATAAGATCTGCTTTTGTTAGATATCCTTGCAGGTGCATAGTGCTGCAAACACAAATCAAAAAGAAAAATATGAAGCTGATCTCAAGCGTGAGATTAAAAAGCTGCAAGTAAGTATAACATGGTCACATCTTGGATGGTGCAAATTTATCGATGGACATCATGTAGAAATATGTTTTAATGTCACATGAAAAGTACAAATTGATAGTTTTCAGACAACATTAATCTGTCTTTTTACACAATATGAAATACCTATTTCATTAGAAATGTGCATGTATTGTTATCATTTATAAGTAACAAAACTATATGAAAGTTGGTCAAATTAGAGAGGCACACAAAGCATCATCTAATAAGAAAAAATGATATGGTTTCCTAAATTTTCTAATGGCTTGAAATAAATTCATGTATTTGCAGAGATTGCGGGACCAGATTAAAACATGGTGTGCAAGTAGTGACATCAAAGATAAACGAACACTGGTGGAAAACCGGAAGTTGATTGAAACTGTAAGTCAGTGGAAACTACAATGCTTAATCAAGTTAATGATGAACAAAATTTCTATCATTCCTCACTCTGATGTTATATAAAAGTTAATATAAATAAAAATGCATATAAAAAATAGTTACTATCCATTTCATATATACTTCATGTTTGTTTTCTTTTGATAAACATTTTGATTTTAAACAAGAACAAAATTTGATGTATTCATTTTGATCATAATTTTTTCTTGAAGCAAATGGAAAGGTTCAAGATTGTTGAAAGGGAAACAAAAACAAAAGCCTATTCAAAGGAAGGCTTAGGGGCTGCTGCAAAAATGGATCCAATTGCAAAGGAAAAGGGAGATGTTGTAAATTGGCTCTCAGTAAGTTTTCTTCTTTCAATAGAATGTTTTATATTGATAGTCATCATTAGTCTAAAATCAAAAATTATTGGTTATTAGATGAAAATTCATTCAGCAGGATTAATCCTGAAATTAATAAGTATTTGCTGACAATAATAAGTCCTCACCAAGAAAATAAAAGAGAAATGTTCACTCTGGAGTTACACAAGAGGGGGGAAAGTTCTGAGCCTAGGATTCCAAGTTGGTTTCACTCTTCGTTTTTCAAAAAATTATCCAGTACTCATTTTCACAGAGCAGTCATATTTATCCTTTGAAGAATTTGTAATTTAACTCTTTATTTTGCTCTTTTAGACAACCATCGAGTCCTTACAAAAACAGCTTGAGCAATTTGAAAGTCGAATAGAGCAGCTGTCATCAAAAAAGAAAAAGATGGATAAAGATGTAAGCTTGAATTGCTATTTTGTGCAGTAAAATTATCTTCAGTTTACAAAAGTTCAAGGTTAAGGATCATTTATGAAAATTTTACTTTAATTTGATAATATTAGCTTCACAGTTTATAAATTATAATGTTATAAATATGCTACAATATTTAAATCCAAATAACAAGGGGGGAAAATCCAATGTAGGGGGTTCTTGATGTTTATGCAAAAATATTAAAATGACTTAGACACAGGATCAATATGAAGAACTGCGAGCTGCACAAGATCGACACAAGTTCCACATAAAGAAACTTGAAACAATCATGAGGATGGTGGACAATGATGCACTACCGTTAGACCAAGTGAGTGAATGTTTGTATAAACTCCAATATTTATTGCAATAAAATACTGTTGTATTACTGTTCTACTAAAAACAATCCTTCTGATGCAAGGAAAAAATAAAGGGGTAGGGTGATAAAATTGTGAATTATTGTACTGGACTTGGTTCTTCAAATGCTGTCAATAGAGTTCGCACAAAGTTGGTCTGCGTCCAGCTGATAACCGTAACAGCAACATTGTTACTACTTATAACATGCATTCAAGATCTCATGTTTGTATGTTAGTTGTCACAACAGAGTTTCAAAAATATATATAAAATAAATGGTTTTATATGAATTTTATCACTGCACTTCACATTTTAATATATGCAACCAACTTTTCTCAGATCAAGAAGATCAAAGATGATGTGGAATACTACGTTGACTCCAACCAAGATCCTGACTTTGAGGAGAACGAATTTCTGTATGACGATTTAGATCTTGATGATCTAGGTAAGTTTTAAGACTAGATAATTTAATGTATGCAATTATCAGGACACATGCCTCTGATTACTTTAGGTAATGAAATTGAACAGTTTAGTAGACATCGTCCAGGACGTACATCTTGGAAAATCTATCTTAATTAAACATTGCTGCCATAAGGCATATGAGCTTATGCATTAGCACAGTGTCCACCTCTCTTCCTTGGAGCTCCTTCACATCCTTAAGTATCACAGTACCACAGGAATTAAGTTTTATATAAACTAACGAGAGATAAATATTTTTTAAAGTTCTTCTGCTGTAAGGTTGCATGGATTTGAACCAAATATGGTCTGGAGCATTACTCAGCCAAGAGGTCTGAAGTTTCATAAATAATACTTTGGTCCCCTCTGGAGGCAGTCTGCAAATTGCAAAAATGGAATTACTTCCTTGCCCCATATACTCATCATAAGTAATAGTATTCTACAAAAATGCGTTTGCAAGAATCCAGTGTCATTTGAAAAGTTACCACTGATATTACTTCTTTGACCTATATAAATATACATAGATAGATCATCGGTAGTACACCTGTTGATGGTCAGAGCGTGCAAAACATAGTTTCATGGAATTCTTGTTTCATATTATTGAATTGTTCAGTACATGTACAAAAATGAAAACGTGCATTAAAAATGTATTAAAAAGAAACGAAAGGCCAATGCAATTGATTTCCATGAACAGTTGGTTGAAAGTATAAAGTTTTACCTTCAATAATGGTTTTCAACCAAATTGACATCGCTACTACTGTTTCAGTTTGGATTGAAGAATTTCAACCTAATTTCCTCTGGTACACTATTGTATAACCCAATGTTCATTCCTGTCGTTACCCTTATAAAGTATTGATTTCATTTCTGTGGTCAAAATGAACTCGGACACAGCCACAACAGTCCCAATGTCTAGTTTAGATTAAAAAAAAATTAGGTGAGCGATGCAGACTTTTATCTTTCATGTTTGAAAATTTGTTATTATTTGAAGGCTTGAAAAACCATGTTTCGACTACATTTGTTCCCATTGAATTTCAGGTTCACAAGTGCTGGCATCTTCACCGCCAAACGATGATAGCATATTGGATAAATTATCAAGTACGCCAACATCAACAAACTCTAGTTCTCCTTCACCTAGTCCTAGTCTTTCGTTGAATCATTCCAAGGTAAGTTTGTAATGTTATTAAAGCCTTTGCTACAAGAAGGATAGGCAGGTCTTAAAAAGACACCCATACGCAGTGGTAAAATTGCAATTGAAAATCACTGTTTTTGAAACTATGCACATTGAAATAAACACATACCGGTACTGTATTTGACATTATAAGGGCACCCCCAACCTTATTCTAAAAAAGAAACCTAGCATGGTACTGGGTTGCGACCGGTCATCCTGTGTGTTTTTGGTATATTTGGAAATGTTTGACAATTACGTATAGTACATATTAACTGAAAATTCACATAGTAATTCCTAAATATTTCATCTTTGTTACTAGAACAAAAATGTTTGAGTCCGTTTCATAATACACAATGAACACAAACAAATGATACCTAATTTTAGGTCGTTTCAGGAACAATTTAGGGCCATTTATCATGAATTTGTAAACAAAATGATAAAGAAAATTTACTGACAAAATACAGGGTAGCTCTTTTAATCTTTAATAGATGGAACATGGTTTTTTTTGTGTAAACGTCATGCTGAAATATACAACACTGGCAGTTTGAATGTGCCACAATGACAGGGAATAGTCACCCTCTTCAAGCTCTTGTGTCAATTCACAGCAAAGCATCAAGGAATCACCAGTCCACCTAAATCTGGATTGAACCAACAATAATGCAAATTCAATTTTGATCAGAAAAAATATTTAGGGACTCCAATGAATAAAATGTCACATCAAGATGTTGTTTATTACACCACTGAAAGCAATGCATTAATATGATATTCTAAACTAAGTCATGATAACCTGAATAATTGTGTATTTGTTTCCATCAGGACAAGTATGAAGAGCTGGACAGGAAAAGGCACAAATCCCAAAATGAAGATGTAAGTTTGTAATTTGGGGTTGATGAAACTTGCACGGAAAATTTACCTGAGCATGTTTATCTTTCCAATCCTTAAAGAAAAATCTTGAAATGGAAAAGTAGAATGTGGATGTATATAAATTGACACTGCACATCAAGTCGAGTCCTTGATTTTTTAGTTAATCCTTCATAACACACAGAGAAACCATGAGCCTCTGGTTAGCTTACACAAAATTAAAATAGGATTTTTTAAAAGTATATCCTATCACAATGATACTTTATATAATAGTGTTCTGTTTATATAATGGTGTTTTGTTGGTGTGCTGTATATCTGTTTTTACTGCATGCAGGTGAATAATACTTCAAAATACCAAAAACCAGTAGAACCATCTCAAATATCATTGGGTTTTTTGCACATTTTTTTGTGTGTGTTTTTTACCAAAATTTGCAATTTAGTTTCTCCAATCTTTGATGAATATAATTCTATGATTTTTATTTTTCAGAAGCAAAAAGCAACAAGTATAGTAACATCGTCCATGTCATCACCCTCATCAACAAACTCATCCTCATCAAGTGTAACTGTCAACAAAGTACCTACAACTCCTACAAAGATGTTTACAGGGTATGTGTAACTATCTGTTGGTTTTCTGTTTATATCAGAAATGTAATTTACATATGTTTTAATATACCTCATGTAGACCTAATCAGAGGTAAATCTATATTATATAACCTTTTTGTCTGTACTCTTTCCTCTCACTTTGTACACCTAAAGTACACAATGTCAGTGTGTTTTCTACTACAAGTTTATAAGTGGCTGACTCTTCTTACCCAAGTAGGTAATTATTGTTTTATATTTTCAACCTTAGGGCTAAGACACTTCTGTTTGTACATACAAAACACTGCATATCTGACTGCCACATATATATATGAAATCTATCACAAATAAATTAGGTAGATGCTCAGTCAATTTGTGACATATATATATATAGTGTTATTAGGAAAATGCAATTTGCCATATTGATGACATTAATTTTCTGATATTAACCACTCGGTCATAAAGGTGTGACCCTATTTGTAAACACAAAACACACTCCTGATATCTACTAGTTCATGTTTGAACCACATATATCTTAATTGCCTCATATGATAACCAAAGTGAAGACTTTTCCCCAAAAGGGAACAGATATATGGTATTCAACTGTAATGTGGTATACTGTGTGCCATTTTAATGATCACCAAGACACTGTTTCATGAAAAATGAGCACATAATAGGGGGAACAAACAATTCAAAACTAACACTATGTACATCTAGATAAGTGTCTGGCAGAAGCGAAGCTATAAATAAAAACCAAGAAATATGTTTCAATACATATTGCAGTATATTACACCCTCATATAAATCAGATTCTTAAACAAATCTGACAATTTGAGCTTATTACAGCTTATTCTGGACATCTGTTCAGCTGAAATTAGTATGCCCCTTTATTAACAGTGTTAAAGAATAAGTATATTTGAAGAAAACACTTCTCTTTGTGTCACATTGACTAAAATATGTCTACAAAACCCCTGCTATGTAGCTGTTTACCCTAGACCATCTAAACTTGTTTTGACACACAAGTTTGTTCAAAATCTTGTTAAAACATAATTTTTATTATTACACGAAAATTTCATGTACAACTTTATGATGAGAATTGAAAGTCAATATTATACATATATCACAAAAGGTCATTCTTGGTTTCAGCTGCTTAACTCATGGTAAGAAATGTTATATCATTATTTGCCCTGTTTTTATTTCAACAGGAATTCAATTGCAAATGCAGAAAGCAATCATCGTCCAAGTTCAACGCCACCATTGACAGCATATAATGTTGCAGCAGCAGTGTCCCAGCAAAACAATAGTGCAGGTGATTAGATTGTTCTCTCTTAACAGTGACATGTCAACTAAACTTCACACGGGAAGGTTACAGGTTACTTAAGGATACTTAACGTCTGTCCTCCTTGTTTGTCACATTTCTGGGAATAATGTAGATAGGATTTAAAGATACAAAAGCCCAATGAAAAAACTGTTTCTGCTCTACTTTAGTGTCTAACTTAGCCATGTATTTCACTGATTTTATATAAGCACATAAAGTCAGTAGTATAACTTTCAAAGTTTATAGAAGTAGTTTGCAAATATAAGTTTTGCTAAAGTATGTTATATCTTCTGAAACCCACAAGTGGAAACACAACACCTGTTTCGTTCGGCTTCAAGGTACTCTTAGGTTCACAGTGTTCTAGCTTAGTTCTATTGAAAACCGTGTGGCCTCAGGTTTGTTAGACACCAATATTGCTTATGTAAAGTTTGTCTTTCTTAAATTATCAAGATACAATTTGTTAAATAGTATCCATCTTTTGCCCGTATTATTCACATCAAGCAAAAAATGACTTGTAACTTCAGAACTACAATAATTGAAGTATGCTTAAACAAAAATGATAATTTTGAACCTATTGTTCATGTTTTGTGAGCATAGTTCTTGCTTTGACTTGTTACATATGTAACTGTATATTTTATGACTGTTTTCTGAAGTGATGTCACTCTTGTTGGTAATGCTGTAGTCTACATTTCTCACTAACAGCATTGTCATGTAGATGTTCTTCACTGCAGGTTTGCATGTAGGTTCTGTATGAGCAGTACATGTGATGGCATGACTCACTATAATTCTTCCCAGCCTATAGCTCCTCTCTTTATAGAAGGGGTCCTGAAACAACATATTGTCCTTTAATATCGAAATAATCTGGACATTACTACAACACTGTACACTTTAAATTTTAAAAAATGGGAGTTTCATTATACTGACTTAACTAGCATGAGGGAGATTCTTCTCCTTTGCTTATCTCAACGCAGCTTTATGAGTGTTTGAAAAATTGTTGTGAATTCTAAAATTGCAGTTTGGATTCTTAATTTTTGTTCAGGTAGGTTATTCTTTCTGTCTATCTATTCAGATATAGCTAGTCCTAGTTTGGTTCTGCTAGACAAATACAAACTGCTTCTATATTGTAGGTCTATCTTTCCCACGACTTTTCAACCATTCTGTGTGGCAGCGCAATTTAGCTGCCATGAAGCTATCATACTTGTCTGATCGTTTAAGTCAAGCTGGTAAGACTTGGGAGAGTTCATCAATCAAGGTTTAAGGCAGTTTTGGAGATAGTGATATTTTCCACACTCTATAGAAGATGCATGTGGTATGTGGTGGACTATTGTATAGATCACACAGTTAGCTTTACAATCTGCTTTGGTGGGATATGCCAGTCATTTGGGAGTTAGGCTTTGTCACATATCTTTAATTTCCAATAAGTAACACAGCATTGCATGATATTCTCCAGTACTTCATGCTCCATACAGAAGATAAAAACAATAGCCATCATATTAATCATTATAATTAGTATCATCGGTTGTTGGCAAAAAAAATGCATAATTCTTTGCATGTTCTGTTAGTTCATGAAACATCCACTTTAAAATTTGAGTTAACCCTAGGCTGCCGTAAAGACATTTTGACTGTTAAAAAATATGTTGAAATTGGACAATGGTGAAATGATATCTACTTTCTTCAACTGAATTTCTTATCCCTGTAGCAGGCATGCATTACTAAACTAAAGCCAAGTCCTGAAAGTATTAGAATGATCAAATGTGCTTAAACATTTTGATACAATATAGTGTTTACACTTTCAAAAAACAGGTTTGCTTTCACTCTCTCTCTCTCTCTCTCTGATTTCCAAATACAAATTTTATTGTTCTAGATTATAATAAATACTCAATTGTTTCTTTTGTGTTTCACATGTCATGACAAGTTTTGGTCAGAATTGGGGTTTGAGAGGTGGGGTTGGTTGTCATCAGTTCCAAAGAGTCATTTTGTGGTTATTTACGAAATATTCAAACTATTATAAACTTCGGTGCTGTGGCAGAAGGTTTTTCTAAAAAGACATAAAATAACTGTTTAAGTGGGCAAACAATGAAGATTTCTTGTGAAAAACTTTTCAGAGAAACATTTTGCTGTTTAACTCTTAAAACCTGGCTGTGAGGATGATAGCATGTTTGTCAGGCTTTTGCTTTTTGGATGGGTGATGCCAAAAATAGGTCAAACAAAGGGGTTGAGAAACATGCAATTGCCCAAAATATCCAGGTGATCATCATGATGACTAAGTTTGATCCATCAGACCACTGATAATGTCCCTATTTCAGCTATTCTCTTTCCATGATTCCATTCATAGGTAATGTGTTATGACTTTGACAGGGTTTTGGTATTTTTAATGCCTGTGATCCGAAACAATTGCCTTAATCTTTATCCAAAAGATCCAGAAACATAGCAAAACAAGTGCCTTCAGCCATCTATGCCTTTTTTTCAGGCATGACATTGACTACATTAGTTACCAACTGTGATGTAATATGAACTCGGAATGGAATGCAACAGCTATCAATTTTGTCAAGTTCAATTTTCTATATATCCTGCTCTTCATATTACAGAAGTGTAATGAAAAAAAGTTAACTTGTCAGTAAAAAATGGTTGGGAATAGCTCAAATCTTTTCATTTGGATATCTCAAAGGGCTTTGTAATAATAAAGGCTTAATATTGTGGGTTGTGAATTTAATTGAAGATATGTATAACACACTTCATTCCTACAGAAATGTTAAGAGATTAAACACCGATTTATGATTTTGCATTATTATTTACATTTTATTTTTTATTTTTTGTAGAAACAAAGATTCAAGCTCCTCTTGACCATATTAATTCTACAATAAGTAGTGTGCCAGTTACATCAAACTCAACAATAACGAACTCTGTCTCTTCAACTGGAAATCCCGTCTTACCAGCTGTACCGATCCCAATGATATCAAACAGTGTTATGTCATCTTCACCTAACACTATTGTTTCAAACAGTGCAACAAGTAGTTCCTTAATGACTTCTTTTCAACAGAACTCAGTGTCTGTCAAACCTGAGATGCAAGTTGTGATGAATGGACCTCTTAGTGCTGTTGGACCATTACTGAAAGGTGTTACAGAGAATGATATTGTAAGTATTCTACAAATATATGTAGGTTTTAAACATATATTGCAAGGTGTGCCTGCATGTAAATCAACAGCATGAGTGAAAGATATCAAAATATTAGCCACACTCCTGAAATATATTTGGTATTACTGAAGACACTGTTAGATATCCCCTATGTTTTGTTTTAAGTTTGCCACTCAATATGTGTACACACTAGTTTCACTCAACATCAACAAGGCAAGGGGACTTTAAAGGGATAAGTGTAGACTATCTTCAAAACAGCATCTGCATCACAACTGGTACACAAAATTTTGCCTGGGACAAATTGGAGTTATCATTCTTGCTCTGTAGAAACAGACGTACTTCAAGGAAAAAATGTCAACAACAAAATTATATACAAAAACATCAATGCAGTATATAATGTCTGATGTAAAAATAAAATGCAAATATGAAACATTGTCAGTCTTCGGTGACATGGGCACAATTCTGAAGAAATGGGCCCATTTAAACAAGAAGGGATCAGACTATCTCCATGAAATGAACAGGTGGAGAAAACATTGGGACTGCTTTAACAAAGGAAATTTGGTTATTAAGGGCTCTGAAAAACTTCCAAACTTCCTGAAAAGGAACTTTGTACATATGTCGCAGTTAAGACATGCCTAACTGTCATAATTGTGAATAAATGAAAATAGAAATGATGAGCAACAACACCACTGAATCCAGTACAAAATGTAATGTTTGATTTACATCCTAAAATAATTGTGAATAGTTATTTTTAGCCTGTTAGTGTTACCTGAAATAATACTTTTTGGGAAAAGAATGCAAAGAGGTGGGGGAAAAGAGGAATGTTTAACTTAACTTAATTTTACGAACAACAAATAAAGCAATGTGGAAGTCTTTATGATAGTAAAAGCTTTACTTTTCAGGAGTCGATGTCATCCTTAAAGTCAATAGCGCAACAGGCTGTGTTAGATGCGGGTCTAGAAAACAGGATTCCAACAACGCACACAACAACACTAGATGCAAGAGGTTGGTTTGATGTTTGTGAAATTCTGTTTCAGCATTTTTTGACCAGAAAAATAAATGAAATTCAATTTATGATTCAAACTATAAATTAGAAAAAGGATCTTTGGAATGATTTGTCAAGTGTTAGATATCTAGCACATTTTTGATTGAATTTTCCTTTTATCATTTAATTTGTGACTTTACAATATTACTACTATGATTTCTTCGAGTTAATCATGGCAACCTAGATATTCCCTATCTAAATTAGCTGTTGAATTTCTGTGGACTTGAAAGGCTATAATTTAGGAATGGACCAAATGCCCTTGTATTCCATATGGCATTATGTTATTATTACAGTAGCTCACTGTTAGTGTATTGCCAAATGCAAGTTAATATATTAAAAAAAATCAGTTTGATTCACAGGTGATAAACTCGGTTACTGTTCTATAGAAAAAAATTGTGATATTATTTTGCTCTTTGAAAGAAGGATACATTGGAAAATTTCAGGATGATGTGAGGGGGAAGGCATATAGACTACTATTGTCTAGGGTATAACTTTTTATATTATACAAAATAACTTTATGAAACTTGGTAATCATGATGAGGACATTCAAGTTTTGTTCAGTTGTCTATAGAGTTATCCCCCTTCTCAATTAGGAGACATTTCGTTAACATCATGTCACAAGCATAACTTTTAAAACATTGTATTTCTTAATAAAACTTTATACAAACTGTAAGTACAAGTTTGTTTGCAGTGCACAAGCTTTACACCTCTTGTGTCTTTAAAAAAGACTTTATGGTGATATTTCACTGTATTTGCCCAACCAAAACTTTCAAAGTTAAGTATTTTTGGAAAGCATCTATCAAAGTTAAGTATTTTTGGAAAGTGTCCATCAGTTCCACTTATTCTCTTGTGCTTTATTTCCAGTACATGTACCATTCAACAATACAACATCTACATCATCTCAGGTGGCAGCACCTCAGCCCACCTCCCCATCACCTTCATCGTCTTCAGACCAGTCACAGCAAGCACAGACCACGACAATACACCTCAATCCTCTGTTGGGTGTGGCACCCCTGGGCCCTGTGCCACTAACTAGGGAACACTACTACCAATTAACGATGTTAGAAGCAGCATATCACCACCTTCCACACCCGTCAGACTCTGAAAGAATCAGGTAGGTGTTGATAGTAATACAATATGTTCCACCTGACCTCTGTGCAATCACTTACTTTTCCAGTTTTAGGGGGTTAATTTGTCCAGGTTGTCCCCATATTAAATCCTTTGAACCATATCATCGGATTGACAAAGAGTTATTGATGTGTGATAAATCTTGTTTAATAATTATTGTTAAATTAAAAAGATATACATCTTATCTCTTAGACTTTGAATTAGGTTACCTGATGTTTTGACAGTAAAATAAAAATAAAAAATGATGTTTTAAACCCCAGATTTAAAAGAAGTTGGGTATAAAGAGGAATCACCTTGGGCATATGTCCGTTTCCTGAGCATATCTTTGTCACTTTGTTATGTATGGTCAAGATTTAATGAAGTATGCTTTGAATAAGGTACAGTTGATGAACTCCAGGCTATTCCAAATTTGAATATATTCTAAACTGAATATTTAAATGTGTAGTGATGACAAGAGGTAATCAATTGGTGGTCGTTGGGGGTCACAAAACATTGTGTTCTGCCCAACATTTACATCTGGAATAACCCCTTTTTATTAGCCAACTTGGAATAAAGCACCTTTCTTTAACTTTATTTTTTTTTATAAAATATTCATTTAGAAACTTTTTTTTTTAAGATGGGTCAATTTTATTTTGTGGTGGTCATACATGCTGTAAAACCTGTTTTTTTTGATGTCCTGGGGAGTGGACTGGTTGTTTATAAACAATATTTCATTAAATGTTATGTTGTTTATAAATTTTATCATTGTTAGGTGATGTTGTATATGTTGGCATTGTGTGAATTGTTGTGTTTGATATTTCAGGCATTATTTACCACGTAACCCATGCCCGACTCCTTCCTACTACCCACAACTTTCTCCACCACATACAGACTCAGTGGATTATTTTCAACGATTATCAACAGAATCATTATTCTTTATTTTCTACTACATGGAGGTAAGGAATAGATATTTTTTTTGCAACCACCTTTTTGCAATAGCAGATTTGTATTTTACCATATCTTTACTAGTTTAAAATAGTTCCAATTTAGCACTCACCTGGTCACTGGAAATATCAATAGGAGGGAGAGATTCAAAACTGTAATCATGGCATGATCTGAGGAGCTAGACCAAATTCAAAATCTATTTTAAGGGACTTCTGGCTACACACAACAAAACTTATTTCCTTATTTGGCAATATACCTCAAATCTTTGCAAGTTCAGTAGCTTTTCGACTTTTACACCACTTGCAAAATGTTGCAAATTATTTCAGAAATGGAATTTTACCCCTTATAAACTGGATAAATAAATGTTTTATTTTTTCTTTACGCACAAAATTAAAGGATTGCTCAACAAAATATAGGTTTGTGTCGTCTATAGATCATAAAGAAGAGGAACGAAAAATTATAATTGAACATGGCGACAAATCACATGATCATTGGGTATCTTGTGTTTTGCCAGCAGCTATAGACATGACTTTTAGTCCCTATTTCCGATGTTCAACCCTTGCATAACTGAACCCTAGTTGGACTCTTGCTTGCTGGCAGAATATACCTTTCACTTTTAATATATTATTCTTCACAGGGTACAAAGGCTCAATATCTGGCAGCAAAAGCTCTTAAAAAGCAGTCGTGGCGGTTTCATACGAAATATATGATGTGGTTTCAGCGGCATGAAGAACCAAAGACAATTACGGAAGATTTTGAACAGGTATTTTGATAGAGATTTCAATAGAGAAACTTTGAATAAAGACTTATATTCCTTAAATAATTAAGACTTTATATTCTATGCACAGGTATATTTTGTGAGTTGGTTTCATCATTTCATCAAAGTTTATGATCAGTGTTATTAAAAATAGAATTTTCTTGACCAGATCCTACCTTCAGACCAATTGAACAAATCCACATACCAAAGCTTAGACTTTGGTTGACCTAATAAAAAGGAAAAACTGTTATGAATTTTAGGAATGGTCCATAAAAAGTCAAGGTTACCCTTAAAGTCTAGTAAAAGTTTTCACCAACTAACTTCACAAAACTCAACCTTGAATCCTAATCAAATTGGGTGTGATGTGTCTAAGGTCATGGTCACAGTAACTAAATTTGTGTCTAAGGTCATGGTCACAGTAACTAAAATAGAATTGTCAAAATCTGACTTTAAAGAAATGACTTGCTACCAGAAATTCAATAGCAAACATTTCATTAGCACAGCTTCTTTCTAATAATAATCTAAAGAATCATGTGAGGCTGATTGAAGAAAAATATATATGTGTAATCTGCTAGCATTTTATATGATTTATTTGCTGTTATTGATAAAATGATATAAGCAACAATTTAGGAAAAGAATATAATCGCCTAATGCATACATTTAATTTTAATTAGCCCACAGTTCTCAAATTACGGCAAATTGCCAACAACCTTCATTCTAGAGAAAATATCAGAGACTAGTACCCATACATTTTCTCATATTAAGTTGCAAAAAGGCTTCATACACCTATTTATTAGATAGTGACTAACAAAGAGTCATCTTACTTAATAGACCAGTTTGTTCAAGAAAGGATATTCTCCAGAGAACTCAATAAAGGATTATTTTAAGCACTAAATAACTCTTCTTTAATTTCCTTTTCAGGGCACATATATCTACTTCGATTACGAGAAATGGGCCCAGAGAAAAAAAGAAGGATTTACCTTTGAATACCGGTATTTGGAGGATCGAGATTTGAACTAAAGAAAGTGTGACAATCGAATTCTTAAGAGTTCTGTTTCATGAATGATTCAGTTTCCATGGATCTGCTACAACTGCCAATCATGAGTGACATGGACAGGATGAGTGAGAGGATGAAGTGTGAATGGTACATTGTGAAGAGTACATTTGTTGATTTCAACCTCCATGTACACTCAACTTTAGTGATCTACCAATAAGAAAGTAGTGTTTGCCCATTACCTCCCAAAGTGACAGATGACATGCAGTAGCATGTTGCAGGACATGTTGACAACAGCCGTGTAGGTTGTCTGTCTAGGCAGCATATTGTGATACACTGTATATTGTACTTTATGAGGCAGGAACCTCTTAGTCTACCTGATCTCGCTTACTTCTAGGGAGGGTAAAATGCAATCTTATCGTACTCGATTATTGTGGTCATTCTTGATAGTTGATGGAATGTTGAAATCTTCACATCACATCTGTTTAGAGTGTTTGTAGAACTTTTGTTTCCTAGTTTGGGATTGTGTAGCTGATTGAGTTTAAATGACTTTGTGCTCCATTTGGCTGTTGAATGTTTTTATCATTTCAAGTGTTGGTTGAGATATGTGGCAGCTTTGAAAAGAATCTCATATTGCATTTCAATTTGGATTAATTACAAAAATTGTTCTACACTTTTCTCAAATATTGCTAACCAAATGATTTAATATATTGTAAACTATCTGAAATTACTCTTTCAAAGTGAATTTTTCAGTATTTTTTATTTTATTACCCTCATTTGTATGGTACTACGGACAAAATGGTAATTTTGACATCACAGTCATGATGTTTTATTTACTGGATTGTCCTAACCAAAGTGCACTTGCCTGTCTTGTTTGTACAGTTCATGGCTTGTTCTCAGCCTGACATCTGTCATGTCTTGGTATGTTGTCATGTTGGGAGCAGGACCACTGTGGTAGTTGTAACGATACTCATTCTTTACTGATATTTATTGACATTGGAAGCCACTGTAGGATATGTGCCAAACCTTGATTACTGTACCGAGAATCCTGTCTGTAAGTAGAAATCTAGTCATGACAGATAGTCTGCTACACATATCAAAACAGAATTCCTGGGCTAACTACAATGTTGTAGTGTATATCCCACCAGATATCACAGTATTCCCATGTACTATGTACATAGCATAACACGTATCAGATAGAAAAGCAATCATTGAGTTAGTGCACAGGTTCTTTTCATTCAGTTTTCCATTTCATTATTTAAAGTCTTTATTGCTGCTGTTGAACTGTGATCCTAAGATAGGGAGAGAATCGATAAGATAAATGTGTTTTAATAGCCTTATAATGATAGCAAGTGCATTTTTTTTAATCCTGGCTCATATTTCAAACTAAATTATAGGGTTTACCTTATTTGGTGAGGCAGGAGACCCAATTCATTTACTGAAACAATTGCAAATGTATCCTGTGTTAATTGGTTTTAAATAGTCTGACAATTAAATGTGAACAAAATGCACATTGCCAGTATTACTTTTGCATACATCTAGGATTGTAGGGATCAGTAATGTAACCCTATTCCCCAGATACATTGGATTCCTTTTCGTATGTTACCTATTTAAGTGATGTTATACATTCAGGGCTGTAAGAGCGTGATGAAGTGTATCACTGACTAGCCTATGTTATGTAAATTGGACTAACCTGGGTGGTAGCTGTACCCCAGCATCCCTGGCTAGTAACAGTTTACAGCCTAGAGCAGGTTTTGTGGTACGAAGGTGGTATGCATTGATCAGCTGTGATGTATTGAAATTTGGTTGATAGCACAGAGATTATTTTCAATTGTTAACAGATTTTGTTTTGTCTCAGAAGTGCTGCACCATTAAATCTGTTGTGTTGAATGTTTTAGAATTTTCACGGACATTTACTTCATAGATGTACAGAACAATATATTGTGGACCAATGGTCTTTCCCTGTAGATACAGGCCTGTGTGTAAGAATTTTTATGTTGTTTGTGAGAAGGAGTGTGTATGTTTGTGTGTGTGTGTAAAGACTTGTAGGTGCAATTCATAATAAAAGCCAATTTTTAAAGTATAAGTGCGAGTGTATAAATGTGGAATTTTTATCAGTTTTACTTCGTCTCTTTCCTGTAGTCCTGTATTGTAAGTTACCAGAGGATAAGAAATCATATGGTGAAATTTGTTTAATTTTGTTAAACAATCTCTTGAGATCTATTGTAATTTTTATTTGGACATTTCGTTTTTGAGGTACAGAGATCAATAAAAGTAATGGAATATGGGCCACTTAAAACAATGCATGCTGTTCCTCCCAGATTTATACGTAATAAGTTATTGATTACTTGAGCAAGTGTAGATGCAGAAGTGGATGAGACAATTTTGTGTTCAGAGTTATATACTTCAATCAATCCATCATCAACATTTACTGTACATTTGAGGTGTAATATTTAACTTATCTATCTGAAATATATATCAAATCTTACATGATTGATTTTTTTTTCTCTTCAAGGTTAAAAAAACAAACGTCAACAATATTTTATTTCCAAATTTTGATTGGGACTGAATACATGTAGAAGTAACAGAATGAGTAGCGAGTGTTGTCACATGTTGGTTGTACAGCCACAGATGTCTTGGTACAGATTTTCCAGCCTGGAGCACAAATTCATGTGTGAATGGTGTCCTCAACATTGTTCTGTGTTACGAGAGAGAGAGAGAGTGTGGTGAAGATGGGCAGTTTTACATCATGTTTGGAAGGTAGTCTGACCAATCAGGGAAGCTGATTCTCAATCATCATGTGATAGACATAGTCATGGTGGACGGTGTGAACTGACTGAGCTGGCTTTCGATCAAGACATTGGTTTTATTTGAGTGCACAACACTCTGTATACATGTCTTATTTTTGTACAGATGTAAAGTGCTCGGCCTGTGCTTGTCATTGACATTGGTCACTAGGCACGGACCAGGCGTTTGTCCGGCCTAGTCTGAGGCTAGTGACCAATGTAGATAGACATGACAGTGTAGGCAAGGGCAGGTAAAACTATGGTGGAAAAAAAACGATAAAAAATTAAAAAAATGACAAAATGACTTTGTCAGTGACTGATGCTCTGTCTTATCTTGTTTGTTTATCTCATGGTCAAGAAAGTGTTTCCTCAATAACAAACTGGACCAAAGATTAAAGTTCAATGTTGTGTACCTGCTGACCATATTCATGTCCAGAGAAATTGTGAAACATTACAATTAAAAGTGCATTGTTTTATCCAACAATGAGGTCATAGACATCAAAGGTGTCTTAGCTTGCTCCTTCCTGAAATGTGTAGAGCTATCATCATGTAAGACTGACCAGTGTTGTTCCTTCATGGTCAAGCTTCCATTATGTCAAAGGTCATTATTTTCCTTGGTTAGATGACGGAGTATATATGAGGTTATTTTAACATTTGCCAGAAACTTCAAAGGTACCATCATAGACACCAAGTCTGATAACTTACTGTCTCGTCATTAACAGTAGGGAGCTTATGTGATGAAAACTAACAGAAAATAATAGTGTGTCCACCTCTATGGCTCTATGTACAATGAACTGCAAGATTACTCCTTTGTTACTTTTCTGTTATATATATATGTATTATTTTTGTATCCTTGGCAAGTTAAGAAAGGATAAACTAGGTATTGTTCTCCCTACAAGATAAAGTTATTATATACATGTATTGAATAATATATGAGTCACATAGGTGATAAAACTTATATAGCACACCCAATTGTGACATTTGGTATCCTCAATTCCTGTCCTATGTTTACATGCATTTCTGTAACAGGAAAAAGAGGAGTGTGCTTCCACAAGGCATGGAACCAGCAACTACCAGCATCCCAGTCCACCGATCTACCGGTTGAGCTGAAGGGAACTTGTCTGGAGCACAAAGCTAAAATGCGACCGTGATCCTGTGTACAATTAAAACCTCCCGCATTTCTATACTTGATCTGTAATTTCGTGGTACCTTAGCACTTTTGGCTTTATTATAGGATGTTTATCCATGTGACGCATGCAATGGTTGCTGTTCCAAGATCGGGGCATAACAAAGTCCTTAAAATGGTAGAGGTTAGGGCAAAGATTGGTTTCACTCTTTTCAGTATAATGTGACTTGAATGGAGTACTGTTTTGGATGCAGTCGGCATGGTATTTCAATGAGGTAGGACTGAAAAGTCGGCATTTGGTACGTGCTATCGCATGGAGCGGATACACCAACACACATGCATACAGTACACCATGTCACTGACAGCAACGACGCTAAACCCAATATATCGATGCTTCATTCCGAATTAGGGAAAGTCCTTAATCTCGTTCGTATTTCAAAGATTAACTCATATTTTGCGCTGCTCTTTTCATTCCCGAGTAGCAACAGATCAATTATAAACCATCGAATTCCCATTGCTCAGTATCCTATCGCAGTAAATCGGCGAGCTCCAAAATTATTTGAGCAAGATGGACATAATTTGAGCAAGATGGAACGGTTTTGTGAATACGGATTCAGATCAACACCATCAGGTTTCCATATATTGTGTCCGCTGGTAACAAATACATTATGTACATCTTTAATTCTTTATAGGCTTTGATGAGTTCATATATACTGTTAGCGTGTAATCAATCAGCTCGATCAATACAAAATTCTAAAGTATGGATAATAAAAAAGGCCCTATTGACATTGCGTGTGAGAAGATGTGTACACTGGCGCGTCGCGTAAATAAAAATCACACCGTCCTACTAGCTCCAGGCCCAATTAAAGTATTCGCGGGGTGCGCGGCCCACATTTTTGGTGTTTGGTTTAAACGATTTATTTTCAAAGTCGATGCATTTTGTGACATTCAAAATTAGTACAGCAGGGATAAAAACATGCTGTAAGCTTATGTTAATTCTTTTCTCCAGTTTAACCGTAAATCCAAAACACTGTTCCACGTCGTCTACGCTGAACACGTTATTGCACGCAAAATCTTACAGCACAACCAGTAAATTTTCATGTGTGACGTTTCGATTACAGTTCATATACTCCCGCTTGGCTTTTTCAAACAAATGGCAAATGTATGTAGATCAATTAAGGCATTAAAAATACCAGAAAAGTCTGTTCGGATACTTGATATGCTTATGCGCATTGAGGTGTTCAGAATTCCTGTCCAACAGCTGGCAAAATACGAGAGAATTCCTCTAGATTCGTTTCGTTTTGGATAACTGTATTAGGAATGGGCATTGAAGATCAGTTAGAGTGACCTGTCCGTATTTTGATCAGAGGTCCAGGGTTCGAATTTAGGTATTTCCCCGTTGTAATGTGAATTTTTGTCTTTGGAACACTATTGTAAGTTTTTTTGTTTATTTCGTCTTTATTTTTCGTGATAGTTCCTCAAAGCATAGGTTTCTTTTTCGAAATAAGTTTTAACACAATTATCTTGCCTGCTAAAAAATGTTACAATTTTTGCAGTGTTACGGGAAGCCTTAATAATGCACATAATTGCAATCTAATCGACCAATCGATTCGGCTACGCCTCTAACCGCTTTTCAGACCTGGCCCGCTTCTATATATCCACATGGCTTGTTTATCTGCTGCTTGAACAGGTTGTCCCCTCTCACCCTCGCGGGTTTCCGTGTTTCTGGTGTTCACCAAGTCGGACCCTAAACCCCTGGAATGTCCAACATACCAAAGAACCACGGACATGGGAATCCATAGAAACTGATTGGGGCTGGTCACACTGGTTCCATTGGTTTAAGTGTTTTCATGTCTCTCGCAGACATTCTTTGCTGCAAAAATGGTAAATCAGAACACCATGTCACCATGTCAAGAACTCAAAAGATCTTGCGGAAAGTGTCTACGCTCATAATTCAAAAAGACTACGAATCATTTTACATGATAATAAATCGAAGCACCAGAGTCAGGAAACCAAGGATTATGTACAACTAAATCCCGCGTCTGAGATATCATCTACCAGCGCAGCTGTGGGCAATCCAGCGTCTCCCATTGCCGTTAATGATCAAAAGCAAGAAGCAATAGCCTTGCCGCTTAGATAGCAAGCCGAACAATCATGCGACGAAGAAACAAACGGCGCATAATGCTATGACCTCCTTGGGAACCTTCCGAAAGAAAGTTGACAGAACTGTTAGTTTAAACTTTATTTTATTATCGGTATAATATTCCAGTAATGCAAACATAATATACGTATAGGATTCGAAAACAAGTACAAAGTACTTATGTTAATACGTCTCCTTTTTTGTAAAACGGCAATTGGACGGCACTGACGAATATTGTGCATATAGATTTAAGTTTGTGGAAGAGAAGAGGATGGGGGAGGATGAAGGGAGAGAGGTGCAAAAGGGTTTAAAGAAAGTGTTGTTGAGGGTAAAATGTATAGGGGAGTATATTACATTTACTGCATTTTGAGAGGAAAAACTGGTTGAAGTATATTTTTTGGATATGGGCACATGTCGAGGACTGTACATGTCACTGAATTCAACACAGTTGAACACACAATAAATTAATTGCATATAATGAAAACTTTCCAATCCGACCCCTGAGTATTCCGACATCCAGTGGTGAACAGCAACCTGGTGTGATTTAAAATATTAAAAGTATCATCAGACACGACTATGATGGTTTGTATATATATATCCATACTGATGTGTCGTGACATATAGCGGCCGTACCAGTAAGTCCCATTATGTAAACATACGTGTAATCAAAAATTGAGAAATTCAAACTTAAAATCGTTTCGACTGTTTGATGAAATGTTGGACACAGTCGAAAACATCAGGATTTCCGTACAGAAGAAGATTTACATAATAGTCGAGAGGAATGCTTCTGAAGCATTGTACTCTTAATTGTTGGTATTTCGGACAGAAAAGGAGGAAGTTGCGATAGTTTCAGCAAACTAATTACAAGTACACATGGGACTACCAACTAGGTGTCGTCTATATAAGGGACTAAAGAGAGAACTACAGTTCATCATTAATCGTGCGTAAAGGTTTTGGCTGAATCTACTTTTTTTAAGATTAGTTATCGACGGGTTAGGCTTTATGTTATCGGGAAGTGCATTCCATAGGTAAATAGAGGAGGGTAAGAAAGAATATTTGTGAAGCTGGGTTCTACAGGTTATTTGGCAGTAATTATTTGTGTTTCTAGTATTGTGAGAGTGCAAGTCAGAATGACGAGCATGTAGTATGTTAAATAGATAGGAGGGGCACTGACTATGGACAATCTTTAGGAATTTTTTATGGGGTTTTCTTCGAACAGATAGAGGATCCCAGCCAGATTCTAAATAAATTCGGTCATGACTAGTTAGTTAAGTGGCCCCAGTAACAATTCTGACTGCTTCGAGCTATATTAATTTTCTAATAATTGACTTTGTCCAATCGTTATATTGTCCCATATTACATCACCACATTCTAAAAGGGGGTCGTAGAAAAGTAAAATACATTGTTTGTAAAGTCATTCTGTCAATAATGAATTTGAACTTCCGAAGAATACCAAGATTATATAGTGTACATGGTCGGTCCACCCTCCGCTAGCTGAGGTAAAGACCCCGATGTGTTTATGGCAGGGGACTTCTGTCAAGGGGATGTTATTCATTAATAAGGAGGGTTGAGTTGTTGTATTATTTTTCTTACTTACAATCATTGTCACTGTTTTGTTAGGGTTAAAGTTAAAGTTAAAGACAAACCATGGATTTTTTTTAGATTGTAGTTCAAAAGTATGGCACTGAGATTCGGCAAGTCCAATACAACGTAGAGGGGGTATCATCGGCAAATAATTTTATTATAGAATTGATATCTTCAACAATGTCATTAACGAAAACAGCAATGGGCCTAAAGTTGACCCATAGGGAACCCCGGCTGTAGTAGATGCTAAGCCACTGTTTACCATTAGTACATTTCCTGTTATGCCAAAGTTTTCGAGTTTAGAAAGAAGACCACGATGCCACACTCGGTCGAACGCTTTGCTAATGTCACAGAATACCATTCTGATTTCTTTACAGAACCGTTAAGTTATTGTTCCACAGGTGTGGTACGATTGTTACAGAACAACAGTAAAAAAGGAAAATTCCGGAATGGGTAGTCAAGAAAATGTCA